AACTACGAAAATTTTAATTGTATTTCTATTTTAAATTAATTGTGTTCAACGTAACTCATTATTGCAATGACTTACGACCAAATGAATGCATTTTTTATCTAAAATAACACGGCAATCTGCGGACTTAATAGTATGAGATAAACTGCCCGATTATATTTAGTTTTGAAACACATAATTTTGCGCTCTTGCGGATTCGTTAACGCTGTTATAAAAATCCCGAGATCGGCTAAAGTAGTATAACTACTCCAAAATACTGGGCAATCCATGGTCATAAAAATCTGGTAAGTGCGAGAACGCCGATTCACTTAAACATACCTGACAGGGATACATGTTATCGCCCCCGAGGTTTTTAATTAAATATTGAAGTCAAAGCCCGGGAAATAAAAATTACCATACCCACCCAATAGGACGCCCAAACAAAAAATCAGGCCAACAATTTGGGTCTAGAAAAGCGACTTCTTCCCGAAAAATACTGTATATTTATTTGGTCATTTGGAATAATTGACATGTTGCCATAACATTGGGACTGAAATTTTCAAATATTTTTTGTAAAATTGATCAAAATCATACTCAACCAATGATAATTAAGTGTCAATATTTTTTGCAATATATGCTGTGCATATTTAAATACCACCTTTTATTAGGACTCATTAAGAAGGCAATCTTTAAGCAGTACTCTGGGAACCGTTCTAACATTGTATCAATATTCATTATACAATCTGTTTTTTTCAACTCCGATTATATTAAAGAAGGTTAAGTTTGATGGTGATGCCTTAACTTATCTAACTTGTCACGGATAAGCACATAAGTTCGATGGTGAGGCTTTAACTTATGTAACTTGACCGGGATAAGCACATGTGATTGATGATGATGCCCTAACGTATCTAACTTGCCCAGGATAAGCACATAAGTTTGATGGCGAGACTATTAACCAGGATTTCCACAGGATTTCCACGTGAAATAAATCATACATTAAATATTAACCAAAACTTGTTTTTAGCAAATTGTTCATTATAAAACCCAATCTAGAACTTGAATTAACTTCATTTTGCTTCCATTACATATTTGCTTCTGTCACTGATATGATATCGTGAGATTGAAGAATTAGAAACTCTATCACGCCAAGTTTTTCAAGTGTTTCCAGTTAACAAATATCATGTGCCTTTATTTTAATATTTACCCAAATGAGCATTGTAAAAATAGCAGATTTTTTTTACGCTCTGATTTCAAATTTGAAAACTCAATATTTTAAATAAAAACTATTTTATATTTACAGAGACAAGCATAACCGACTCTCACATTAAAGAAGTTCGAGCAGAGCAGATTCATGAGTTCATTGCCAAGAAGATCGTGCAGAATGCTTACGAACATTGATGGTAGGTTCGATTCCACAGGATTTGGCAGAAGTAAGCGAATTATGTATATTGGACTATGAACCTAATCAATGTTACTTATTCCTATTGCAGGGCGATTTTTTAGCCATTTTCCCTTTAAATTCAAACTTGAAATATGTCCAGATCATGGATAAGTTTGGAATGTTTCCGCCACACCCTTCCAGCTTAAGCTCCTTTTAATATTATTGTCCTTTAGAATAGTTTTAGGATGTATATATTTTTAAATTTGTTTGAAAGTGAGTGTACTGACCTTAGAGTGGGAGTGAAAGTTTTAAATATATGCTACATTCACAAATCGTGAGTGGAAATTTCTCAATTGATAAAAATAATAATACTCATTGATAATGTAAGATGTAAAAGAGTCAATATTTAAATGCTTATGTTTTATACCCACTTTATTATGGCCCTCAAGGTTATCTTTTGGCGCTCAAAAGTGTGTTGTACCTAGTTGTTCTTTCTGGTGATACGCCTCAAAATAGGGTACATACACATAGACACATCACACTCTGCAAAATAGTATCTGGTTTCTTTACGCAGTTTCTTGCCACCTTTGTCGCAGTGTGAACAGCAGACCTTGCAGCGTCTTGTAGATGCTTCTTTGCCGCCATCAGGTGGAATACAATAAACGATTTATTTTATCTCTTGTCACACCACGCTTTCGACTGACCATTTTCATTTTTGGGTTGCCCGCTGCACGACCCACGTAGCCCCGCCCACCTCTGGGTCAGTACGAACAGCCGCCCACCGAACGGCAAGAACGTAATTATAGATTTTCCAGCCTACGCCGAGTGTACGCCGGCGTAACGGTTTACTAGCAGCTTGTAATTGTGTGTGGCGATGATGCTCGGAGTTAACTCGGTACGTATGGTCTGTGCTTGGCGAATATTCTCAGGAACAACGGTAATAGAGTTAAAGGGATGTACAGACTGACTAGGAATAAAAGTTTTATTTATTTTTTGCTACATTTACAAACCAATCAGTGGAAAGTCCTATATAATCAAAATCATACCCGTTGATATTGTAAGGTATTGAGCAGCAATATTTTAATGCTTATATTTTTATACATCCTTTTATTATGGCCCTTTAGGAAGGTTATCAATGCCCTCGAATGCCCAATTTTGAAATCTATGTTTTCTGGTTAGCAAAACCCCCTTTCAATTTTATTTTTAGTGCAATAATGCCATCTTTTAAAATTTAATGCTCAGTTTGAAATAACAATATTTTTTCATACAAATTATTAATTTATTACAGAGACAAACATAACTGACTCTTACATTCAAGAAGTTCGAGCAGAGCAGATTCACGAAGTTCATGCTGAGAAGGTCGTGCAGAATGTAACAAATATTGATGGTAGGTTCGATTCCACAGGATTTCCAGTTGAAAAATCTATACATTACATATAAACTAAAACATTTTCATCAAATAGTTTGTTGTAAAACCCAAATTTGAAATACTTTTCAAATCAATGCATAGTTTTCATCGCTAGGATCACTGCTACTTGCGATATAGTTTTATGATTTACCGTATTTGTCGGCAAATAAGTCTACCCGGCAAATAGGACGAAGCTTGTTTTAGGCCTGAAAAAAAGGAGTTCTTGCATATAGCCCCCCAATAAGACTGGGCTTGAAAATCGCAAGTCTGCTGTTCAAAATCGGAATTAAAAATTTCCATGCAACAGCTTGTGAGCGGTCGCCGCATCTGCGCATTCGTTAGAAAAGGCCCATAATGACTTTTTCTGTCTCGTAATATACAATCCATGACAACTACGGGAATTTTAACTGTTTTTTTTTTATTTTAATTTAATTGTATTCAACGTAACTCGCGATTGCGTCGACTCACGACCAAAAAATTGCTTTACTAATCTAAAATAACACAGCAATCTGCAGACATACTAGTATAAGATGAACTGCCCGATTATATGTAGTATTGATACATATTTTTGCGCTTTTGCGGATTTATGCTAACTTATCTAACTTGCCCAGGATAAGCACATAGGTTTGATGGTTAGGCCTTAGCTTATCTCTCATGCCCGGGATAAGCAAATCAGTTCGATTGTGAGGCCTTCCTTATCTAACTTGCCCAGAATAAGCAGATAAGTTTGATGGTGAGGCTTTCTTGCGCAGGATAAGCACGCACACAAGTTTGATTGTGAGGCCTTAAATTATCTAACTTGCCATGAAAAGGCACATAAGTTTGATGGGAAGGCTTTAACTTACCTAACTTGTCCAGAATAAGCACATAGGTTTATTGGTGATGCTTCAACTTATCTAACTTGTCTAGGATAAGCACCTAAGTTTGATGGTGAGTCCAGAATAAGCACATAAGTTGGATGGTGCGGCCTTATCTTATCTAACTTGCCATGAATAAGCACATAAATTTGACGGGAAAGCTTTAACTTACCTAACTTGCCCAGGATAAGTACATAAGTTTGATGGTGAAGCCTTCCTTATCGTATCTAACCTGCCCAGAATAAGCAAATAAGTTTGATGGTGAAGCCTTATCTTATCTAACCTGCTCAGAATAAGCAAATAAGTTTGATAATGAGGCTTTAACTTATATAATTTGCTCGGAATAAGCACATAAGTTTGATGGGAAGGCTTTACTTACCTAAATTTACCAGGATAAGCACATACTTTTGATGGTGATCCTTTAACTTATCTAATATGCCCAGGATAAGCACTTTAGTTTGATGGTGAGGCTTTACCTTATATAAATTTCCCAGTATAAGCACATCAGTTTGATGATGAGACTTTCTTGCCCAGGATAAGCACGCACACAAGTTTGATTGTGAGGCCTTAAATTATCTAACTTGCCCAGAATAAGCACATAACTTTGATGATGAGGCTTTATCTTATCTAACTTGCCCAGGATAAGCACATACGTTTGATGGTGAGCCCTTAACTTATCTAAATTGCCCAGGATGAGCACTTTAATTTGTGGGCTTTACCTTATCTAAATTTCCCAAGATGAGCACAAGTACAATTGCAACACAATCTACCCAAGTGACGTATTTTATGCCTTCAGTAATTCATTTGTTGAGAGAACCAATTACAATAAAAAAAGTCGCTTATGTGTTATGAAAAGCTAAGTTTCCAGACAGCTATTTCCTCATCTAAATTAAATGAATGGAACAGGTATAGGGGTTGGGTAATAGAGAATTACTTTTCAGTATTTCGATATTTAGATAAAAACGGGGATGTGTCAATGACACAATTTTCTACTTTATAAAAATCTGATTGATTGTATACAAACTATATTCTTTTACAGAGACAAACATAACTGACTCTCAGATTCAAGAAGTTTAATTAATCTAAACATTACATATAGACCAAAACTTGTTTCTAGCTAGTTACTTATCAAAAAACTCAATCTAGAACTTAAATCAAGTTCATTTCGCTTCCAACACGTATTTGCTTTTGTCACTAATGTGAGATGGAAGAATTATCTATATTTGTCACTTCAATTTAGTTTGTCGACTAAAGATTATAATGTATCTCATTTTAATATTTAACCAAATGTGCAATGTGAGAATAGCACAGTTTTTTTTACGCTCCAACGCCCAATTTGAAAACCTATTTTTATAAATAGAATATTTCTTTCGTACAGAGACAAGCATAACTGACTCCCATATTCAAGAAGTTCGAGCTGAGCAGATTCATGAAGTTCATGCTGACAAGGTCGTGCAGAATGTTACGAACATTGATGGTAGGTCGGATTTATCAGAATTTCCAGTGTCGAAATAATATGAATATTGACTATGAACCTAATCAATGTCTGCTTCCTATTGCAGGGCATTTTCGCCACTTTCACTTTAAATTCAACATGAAATATGTCAGTATGGTAGTTTGGAATGTTTCGCCACACCTTCCAACTTAAGCTCTTTAATATTTGTGTCTTTAGAGAGTTTTAAGATGTTATATTTTTAAAATTTGTTCAAAGTGGTGTACTGACTCAGAGTGGGAGTGAAAGTTTTAAATATATTTTGCTACATTCACAAATGTGAGTGGAAATTCTCAATTGATAAAAATAATAATACTCATTGATAATGTAAGATGTGAAGAGTCAATATTTAAATGCTTATGTTTTTATACCCACTTTTATTATGGCCCTCTAGGTTATCTTTTGGCGCTCAAGAAGTGTGTGTACCTAGTTGTTCTTTTTGGTGATACGCCTCAAAATAGGGTACAAATACAATTTGGTTTCTTTACGCAGTTTCTTGCCACCTTTGTCGCAGTGTGAACAGCAGACCTTGCAGCGTCTTGTAGATCCATCTTTGTCGCCATCAGGTGGAATACAACAAACGATTTATTCCATCTATTGTCACACCACGCTTTCGACTGACCATTTTCATTTTTGGGTTGCCCGCTGCACGACCCACGTAGCCCCGCCCACCTCTGGGTCAGTACGAACAGCCGCCCACCGAACGGCAACGACGTAATTATAGATTTTCCAGCCTACGCCGAGTGTACGCCGGCGTAACGGTTTACTAGCAGCTTGTAATTGTGTGTGGCGAATATTCTCAGGAACAACGGTAATAGAGTTAAAGGGATGTACAGACTGACTAGGAATAAAAGTTTTATTTATTTTTTGCTACATTCACAAACCAATCAGTGGAAAGTCCTAATTAATCAAAATCATAGTCGTTGATATTGTAAGGTATTGAGCAGCAATATTTTAATGCTTATATTTTTATACATCCTTTTATTATGGCCCTTTAGAAAGGTTATCAATGCCCTCGAATGCCCAATTTTGAAATCTATGTTTTCTGGTTATCAAAACCCCCCTTCAATTTTATTTTTAGTGCAATATTGTCATCTTTTAAAATTTAATGCTCAATTTGAAATAACAATATTTTTTCATACAAATTATTAATTTATTACAGAGACAAACATAACTGACTCTTACATTCAAGAAGTTCGAGCAGAGCAGATTCACGAAGTTCATGCTGAGAAGGTCGTGCAGAATGTAACAAATATTGATGGTAGGTTTGATTCCACAGGATTTCCAGTTGAAAAATCTATACATTACATATGAACTAAAAAATTTTCATCAAATAGTTTGTTGTAAAACCCAAATTTGAAATACTTTTCAAACCAATGCATAGTTTTCATCGCTAGGATCACTGCTACTTGCGTTATGTTTTTATGATTTACCTTATTTCTCGCCAAATAAGTCTACCCGGCAAATAGGACGAGGCTTGTTTTTAGGCCTGAAAAAAGGAGTTTTTGCATATAGCCCCTCAATAAGACTGGGCTTGAAAATCGCAAGTCTGCGGTTCAAAATCGGAATTGATAATTTCCATGCAACAGCTTGTGAGCGGTCGCCGCATCTGCGCATTCGTTAAAAAAAAAGGCCATAATGACTTTTACCGCCTCGTAGAATACAATCCATGACAACTACCGTAATTTTAAATGTTTTTCTATTTTTATTTAATTGTGTTCAACGTAACTCGCGATTGCGTCGACTCACGATCAAAAAATTGCTTTACTAATCTCAAATAACACAGCAATCTGCAGACATACTAGTATAAGATGAACTGCCCGATTATATGTAGTTTTGACACCTATTTTTGCGCTTTTGCGGATTTATTCTAACTTATCTAACTTGTCCAGAATAAGCACATATGTTTGATGGTGAGGCTTTAACTTATCTAACTTTCCCATGATACGCATCTAAGTTTGATGGTGAGGCCTTAACTTATCTAACTTATCCAGAATAGGCCGATAAGTTTAATGGTGATGCTTTAATTTATCTAACTCGTCCAGGATAAGCACCTAAGTTTGATGGGAAGGCTTTAACTTGCCTAACTTGCCCAGGATAAGCACATAAGTATGATGATTATACAGCCTTTTATTTTGGCCCTCTAGGAAGGTTATCAATGCCCTCGAATGGCCAATTTTGAAATCTATGTTTTCTGGTTAGCAAAACCCCCCTTCAATTTTATTTTTAATGCAAAATTGCCTTCTTTTAAAATTTATTGCTCAAGTTGAAATACCAATATTTTTTCATACAAATTATTAATTTATTACAGAGACAAACATAACTGACTCTTACATTCAAGAAGTTCGAGCAGAGCAGATTCACGAAGTTCGTGCTGAGAAGGTCGTGCAGAATGTAATAAATTTTGATGGTAGGTTTGATTCTACAGGATTTCCAGTTGAAAATATCAGTGTTGAAAAATCTATACATTACATATGAACTAAAAAAATTTCATCCAATAGTTTGTTGTAAAACCCAAAATTGAAATACTTTTCAAATCAATGCATAGTTTTTATCGCTAGGATCACTGCTACTTGCGTTATGTTTTTATGATTTACCGTATTTATCGGCAAATAAGTCTACTCGGCAAATAGGACGAGGCTTGTATTTAGGTCGAAAAAAGGAGTTTTTGCATATAGCCCCCCAATAAAACGGGGCTTGAAAAACGTAAGTCTGCGGTTCAGAATCGGAATTGAAAATTTCCATGCAACAGCTTGTGCGCATTCGTTAAAAAAAGCCCATATTGACTTTTTCTGTCTCGTAATATACAATCCATGACAACTACGGGAATTTTAACTGTTTTTCTATTTCAATTTAATTGTTTTCAACGTCACTCGCGATTGCGTCGACTCACGACCAAAAAAATGCTTTACTAATCTAAAATAACACAGCAATCTGCAGACATACTAGTATAAGATCAACTGCCCGATTATATGTAGTTTTGATACATATTTTTGAGCTTTTGCGGATTTATGCTAACTTATCTAACTTGCCCAGGATAAGCACAAAGTTTGATGGTTAGGCCTTAGCTTATCTCTCATGCCCGGGATAAGTAAATCAGTTCGGTTGTGAGGCCTTAACTTATCTAACTTGCCCAGGATAAGCACATAAGTTTAATAGTGAGGCTTCAGCTTATCTAACTTGTCTAGGATAAGCACCTAAGTTTGACGGTGGGGCCTTTACTTATCTAACTTTCCAGAATAAGCACATAAGTTTGATGGTACAGCCTTATCTTATCTAACTTGCCATGAATAAGCACATAAATTTGATGGAAAGGCTTCAATTCTGGCTTAAACCTTACCTAACTTGCCCAGGATAAGTACATAAATTTGATGGTGAAGCCTTATCTTATCTAACCTGCCCAGAATAAGCAAATAAGTTTGATAGTGAGGCTTTAACCCATATAATTTGCCCGGAATAAGCACATAAGTTTGATGGGAAGGCTTTACTTATCTAACTTTTCCAGAATAAGCACATAAGTTTGATGGGAAATCTTTAACTTACCTAACTTGACCAGGATAAGCACATAATTTTGATGGTGATGCCTTAACTTATCTAACTTGTCCAGGATAAGCACCTAAGTTTGATGTTAAGGCTTTTACGAATCTAACTTCCCCACAATAAGCACATAAATTTTGATGGTGTGGCCTTATCTTATCTAACTTGCCAAGAATAAGCACATAAGTTTGATGGTGCGGCCTTATCTCATCTAACTTGCCATGAATAAGCACATAAATTCGATGGGAAGGCTTCAACTTACCTAACTTGCCCAGGATAAGTACATAAGTTTGATGGTGAAGCCCTATCCCATCTAACCTGCCCAGAATAAGCAAATAAGTTTGATAGTGAGGCTTTAACTTATATAATTTGCCCGGAATAAGCACATAAGTTTGATGGGAAGGCTTTACTTATCTAACTTTACCAGGATAAGCACATACTTTTGATGGTGAGCCCTTAACTTATTCAATATGCCCAGGATAAGCACTTTAGTTTGATGGTGAGGCTTTACCTTATATAAATTTCCCAGTATAAGCACATCAGTTTGATGATGAGGCTTTACCTTATCTGAATTTCCCAGGATAGGCACATAAGTTTGATGGTGAGGTTTTCTTGCCCAGGACAAGCACGCACACAAGTTTGATTCTGAGGCCTTAAATTATATAACTTGCCCAGAATAAGCACATAACTTTGATGCTGAGGCTTTATCTTATCTAACTTGCCCAGGATAAGCACATACGTTTGATGGTGAGCCCTTAACTTATCTAAATTGCCCAGGGTGAGCACTTTAATTTGTGGGCTTTTTCTTATCTAAATTTCCCAAGATAAGCACAAGTACAATTGCAACACAATCTACCTGAGTGACGTATTCTATGCCTTCAGTAATTCATTTGTTGAGAGAACCAATTACAATAAAAAAAGTCGCTTACAATTACATATTTCCAAGTATTCGAAGTATTCGCCCTAGTTACAGCGAAGAATACATTGCAAACAATACCAGTACGGTATACTATTATACGTGTATAAAACTTGCAGTAAGGGGGATGAAATATGATGAAAAAAAAACGTCAATAAATTTGTAAATAACAGAAAACATAGATTAATTCAGTGAGTCATTCAGGGGATGTGCCAATGACACAATTTTCTACTTCATAAAAATCTGATTGATTGCATACAGACTATATTCTTTTACAGAGACAAACATAACTGACTCTCAGATTCAAATAGTTTAATAAATCTAAACATTACCTATAGACCAAAACTTGTTTCTAGCTAGTTACTTATCAAAAAACTCAATCTAGAACTTGAATTAAATTCATTTCGCTTCCAACACGTATGTGCTTTTGTCACTAATATGGTATTGTGAGATGGAAGAATTATCTATATTTGTCACTTCAATTTAGTTTGTCGACTAAAGATTATAATGTATCTCCTTTTAATATTTAACCAAATGTGCAATGTGAGAATAGCACAGTTTTTTTTACGCTCCAATGCCCAATTTGAAAACTTATTTTTATAAATAAAATATTTCTTTCGTACAGAGACAAGCATAACTGACTCCCATATTCAAGAAGTTCGAGCTGAGCAGATTCATGAAGTTCATGCTGACAAGGTCGTGCAGAATGTTACGAACATTGATGGTAGGTCGGATTTATCAGAATTTCCAGAGTTGAAATAATATGAATATTGACTATGAACCTACACTTGATTTTAGCAAAGTGTGTAAAGAAAACAATCTCTTAACATTACTCTTGGAACTGTCTTGATATTGCCCCACTTTTAATCCTAAGGAAGATTAGTATAAGTTTTAAGTACCCTAACTCGTAATAGTACTGAAATAAGCAAAATCGAATTTAAAATTATGGCCTAACCCTAACCTGGTACACATGCTACGTTCCAGTGTCTAACTTGCCCAGGATAAGCACATAAGTTTGATGGTGAGGCTTTAACTTACCTACGTTTCCCAGGAAACGAACCTAAGTTCGATGGCGAGGGTTTAATTTATCTAACTTTCCCAGGATACTCACCTAAGTTTGATGGTGCGGCCTTTACTTATCTAACTTGCCAAGAATAAGCACATAAGTTTGATGGTGCGGCCTTATCTTATCTAACTTGCCATGAATGAGTACATAAGTTTGATGGTGAAGCCTTATCTTATCTAACCTGCCCAGAATAAGCAAATAAGTTTGATAGTGAGGCTTTAACTTATATAATTTACCGGAATAAGCACATAAGTTTGATGGGAAGGCTTTACTTATCTAACTTTTCCAGAATAAGCACATAAGTTTGATGGGAAAGCTTTAACTTACCTAACTTGCCCAGGATAAGCACATAAGTTTGATGGCGATGCCTTAACTTATCTAACTTATCCAGGATAAGCACCTAAGTTTGATGTTGAGGCTTTTAAATATCTAACTTTCCCACAAAGAGCACATAAATTTTAATGGTGCGGCCTTATCTTATCTAACTTGCCATGAATAAGCACATATATTCGATGGGAAGGCTTTAACTTACCTAATTTGCCCAGGATAAGTACATAAGGTTGATGGTGAAGCCTTATCCCATCTAACCTGCCCAGGATAAGCACATACTTTTGATGGTGAGCACTTAACTTATTTTTTATGCCCAGGATAAGCACTTTAGTTTGATGGTGAGGCTTTACCCCTATATAAATTTCCCACTATAAGCACATCAGTTTGATGATGAGGCTTTGCCTTATCTGAATTTCCCAGGATAGGCACATAAGTTTGATGGTGACGCTTTCTTGCCCAGGATAAGCACGCACACAAGTTTGATTGTGAGGCCTTAAATTACCTAACTTACCCAGAATAAGCACATAACTTTGATGGTGGGGCTTTGTCTTATCTATCTTGCCCAGGATAAGCACATACGTTTGATGGTGAGGCTTTCTTGCCCAGGATAAGCACGCACACAAGTTTGATTGTGAGGCCTTAAATTACCTAACTTGCCCAGAATAAGCACATAACTTTGATGGTGAGGCTTTAACTGATCTAAATTTCCCAGGATGAGCACTTTAATTTGTGGGCTTTACCTTATCTAAATTTCCCAAGATAAGCACAAGTACAAATGCAACACAATCTACCTGAGTGACGTATTTTATGCCTTCAGTAATTCATTTGTTGAGAGAACCAATTACAATAAAAAAAAGTCGCTTACAATTACATATTTCCAAGTGTTCGAAATTCGATTCGATTCGAAAAAAATATTCGATTCGATTCTGATATCACAAGGTATTCGAAAATGCCCAGCCCTAGTTACAGCGAAGAATATATTGCAAACAATACCAGTACGGTATCCTATTATATGTGTATAAAATTTGCAGTAAGGGGGATGAAATATGATGAAAAAAAAACGGTGAATAAATTTGTAAATAACAGTAAACATAGATTAATTCACTGAGTCATTCAGACTTCAGACACGTATTTGCTTTTGTCACTAATATGGTATTGTGTGATGGAAGAAATATCTATATTTGTCACTTCAATTTAGTTTGTCGACTAAATATTATAATGTATCTCATTTTAATAATTAACCAAATGTGCAATGTGAGGATAGCATAGTTTTTTTTTTACGCTCCAATGCCCAATTTGAAAACCTATTTTTATAAATAAAAATTTCTTTCGTACAGAGACAAGCATAACTGACTCCCATATTCAAGAAGTTCGAGCTGAGCAAATTCATGAAGTTCATGCTGACAAGGTCGTGCAGAATGTTACGAACATTGATGGTAGGTCGGATTTATCAGAATTTCCAAAGTTGATATTATATGAATATTGACTATGAACCTACACTTGATTTTAGCGAAGTGTGTAAAGAAAGCAATCTCTTAACATTACTCTTGAAACTGTCTTGATATTGCCCCACTTTTAATCTTAAGGAAGATTAGTAAAAGTTTTAGGTACCCTAACTCGTAATAGTACTGAAATAAGCAAAATTGAATTTAAAATTATGGCCTAACCCTAACCTGGTACACATACTACGTTCCAGTGTCAAACTTGCCCAGGATAAGCACATAAGTTTGATGGTGAGGCTTTAACTTACCTACGTTTCCCAGGATACGAACCTAAGTTCGATGGCGAGGCTTTAATTTATCTAACTTTCCCAGGATACTCACCTAAGTTTGATGGTGCGGCCTTTACTTATCTAACTTGCCACGAATGAGCACATAAGTTTGATGGTGCGGCCTTATCTTATCTAACTTGCCAAGAATAAGCACATAACTTTGTTGGGAAGGCTTTAACTTACCTAACTTGCCCAGGATAAGCACATAAGTTTGATGGTGATGCCTTAACTTATCTAACTTGTCTAGGATAAGCACCTAAGTTTGATGTTGAGGCCTTTACTTATCTAACTTCCCCAGAATAAGCACATAAATTTCAATGGTGCATCCTTATTTTATCTAACTTGCCAAGAATAAGCACATAAGTTTGATGGTGCGGCCTTATCTTATCTAACCTGCCCAGAATAAGCAAATAAGTTTGATAGTGAGGCTTTAACTGATATAATTTGCCCGGAATCAGCACATAAGTTTGATGGGAAGGCTTTACTTATCTAACTTTTCCAGAATAAGCACATAAGTTTGATGGGAAAGCTTTAACTTACCTAACTTGCCCAGGATAAGCACATAAGTTTGATGGTGATGCCTTAACTTATCTAACTTATCCAGGATGAGCACCTAAGTTTGATGTTGAGGCTTTTAAATATCTAACTTTCCCACAATGAGCACATAAATTTTAATGGTGCGGCCTTATCTTATCTAACTTGCCATGAATAAGCACATATATTCGATGGGAAGGCTTTAACTTACCTAATTTGCCCAGGATAAGTACATAAGTTTGATAGTGAGGCTATACCCCTATATAAATTTCCCAGTATAAGCACATCAGTTTGATGATGAGGCTTTACCTTATCTGAATTTCCCAGGATAGGCACATAAGTTTGATGGTGACGCTTTCTTGCCCAGGATAAGCACGCACACAAGTTTGATTGTGAGGCCTTAAATTACCTAACTTACCCAGAATAAGCACATAACTTTGATGGTGGGGCTTTGTCTTATCTATCTTGCCCAGGATAAGCACATACGTTTGATGGTGAGGCTTTCTTGCCCAGGATAAACACGCACACAAGTTTGATTGTGAGGCCTTAAATTACCTAGCTTGCCCAGAATAAGCACATAACTTTGATGGTGAAGCTTTAACTGATCTAAATTTCCCAGGATGAGCACTTTAATTTGTGGGCTTTACCTTATCTAAATTTCCCAAGATAAGCACAAGTACAAATGCAACACAATCTACCTGAGTGACGTATTTTATGCCTTCAGTAATTCATTTGTTGAGAGAACCAATTACAATAAAAAAAAAGTCGCTTACAATTACATATTTCCAAGTGTTCGAAATTCGATTCGATTCGAAAAAAATATTCGATTCTATTCTGATATCACAAGGTATTCGAAAATGCCCAGCCCTAGTTACAGCGAAGAATATATTGCAAACAATACCAGTACGATATCCTATTATATGTGTATAAAATTTGCAGTAAGGGGGATGAAATATGATGAAAAAAAAACGGTCAATAAATTTGTAAATAACAGTAAACATAGATTAATTCACTGAGTCATTCAGACTTCAGACACGTATTTGCTTTTGTCTTTAATATGGTATTGTGTGATGGAAGAAATATCTATATTTGTCACTTCAATTTAGTTTGTCGACTAAATATTATAATGTATCTCATTTTAATATTTAACCAAATGTGCAATGTGAGAATAGCATTGTTTTTTTTACGCTCCAATGCCCAATTTGAAAACTTATTTTCATAAATAAAAATTTCTTTCGTACAGAGACAAGCATAACTGACTCCCATATTCAAGAAGTTCGAGCTGAGCAAATTCATGAAGTTCATGCTGACAAGGTCGTGCAGAATGTTACGAACATTGATGGTAGGTCGGATTTATCAGAATTTCCAGAGTTGATATTATATGAATATTGACTATGAACCTACACTTGATTTTAGCGAAGTGTGTAAAGAAAGCAATCTCTTAACATTACTCTTGAAACTGTCTTGATATTGCCCCACTTTTAATCTTAAGGAAGATTAGTAAAAGTTTTAAGTACCCTAACTCGTAATAGTACTGAAATAAGCAAAATCGAATTTAAAATTATGGCCTAACCCTAACCTGGTACACATGCTACGTTCCAGTGTCTAACTTGCCCAGGATAAGCACATAAGTTTGATGGTGAGGCTTTAACTTACCTACGTTTCCCAGGATACGAACCTAAGTTCGATGGCGAGGCTTTAATTTATCTAACTTTCCCAGGATACTCACCTAAGTTTGATGGTGCGGCCTTTACTTATCTAACTTGACACGAATGAGCACATAAGTTTGATGGTGCGGCCTTATCTTATCTAACTTGCCAAGAATAAGCACATAACTTTGTTGGGAAGGCTTTAACTTACCTAACTTGCCCAGGATAAGCACATAAGTTTGATGGTGATGCCTTAACTTATCTAACTTGTCTAGGATAAGCACCTAAGTTTGATGTTGAGGCCTTTACTTATCTAACTTCCCCAGAATAAGCACATAAATTTTAATGGTGCATCCTTATTTTATCTAACTTGCCAAGAATAAGCACATAAGTTTGATGGTGCGGCCTTATCTTATCTAACCTGCCCAGAATAAGCAAATAAGTTTGATAGTGAGGCTTTAACTTATATAATTTGCCCGGAATCAGCACATAAGTTTGATGGGAAGGCTTTACTTATCTAACTTTTCCAGAATAAGCACATAAGTTTGATGGTGAGGCTTTAACTTACCTACGTTTCCCAGGAAACGAACCTAAGTTCGATGGCGAGGCTTTAATTTATCTAACTTTCCCAGGATACTCACCTAAGTTTGATGGTGCGGCCTTTACTTATCTAACTTGCCAAGAATAAGCACATAAGTTTGATGGTGCGGCCTTATCTTATCTAACTTGCCAAGAATAAGCACATAACTTTGATGGGAAGGCTTTAACTTACCTAACTTGCCCAGGATAAGTACATAAGTTTGATGGTGAAGCCTTATCCCATCTAACCTGCCCAGGATAAGCACATACTTTTGATGGTGAGCACTTAACTTATTTTTTATGCCCAGGATAAGCACTTTAGTTTGATGGTGAGGCTTTACCCCTATATACATTTCCCAGTATAAGCACATCAGTTTGATGATGAGGCTCTACCTTATCTGAATTTCCCAGGATAGGCACATAAGTTTGATGGTGAGGCTTTCTTGCCCAGGATAAGCACGCACACAAGTTTGATTGTGAGGCCTTAAATTACCTAACTTTCCCAGAATAAGCACATAACTTTGATGGTGAGGCTTTGTCTTATCTATCTTGCCCAGGATAAGCACATACGTTTGATAGTGAGCCTTTCACTGATCTAAATTTCCCAGGATGAGCACTTTAATTTGTGGGCTTTACCTTATCTAAATTTCCCAAGATAAGCAAAAGTACAATTGCAACACAATCTACCTGAGTGACGTATTTTATGCCTTCAGTAATTCATTTGTTGAGAGAACCAATTACAATAAAAAAAAAAGTCGCTTACAATTACATATTTCCAAGTGTTCGAAATTCGATTCGATTCGAAAAAAATATTCGATTCGATTCTGATATCCCAAGGTATTCGAAAATGCCCAGCCCTAGTTACAGCGAAGAATATATTGCAAACAATACCAGTGCGGTATCCTATTATACGTGTATAAAACTTGCAGTAAGGGGGATGAAATATGATGAAAAAAAACGGTCAATAAATTTGTAAATAACAGTAAACATAGATTAATTAACTGAGTCATTCAGAGTTACCAGATTTAATGCGGCGGTTATTCTAGAATTGGATTCCTTGCTCATGTAATTGTTTGCCCGACTTGCTTACAGCGAGCAATTTGATGTTTCAAACATGCACATAAGTTTGCACATAAGTTTGATGGTGATGCCTTAACTTATCTAACTTGTCTAGGATAAGCACCTAAGTTTGATGTTGAGGCCTTTACTTATCTAACTTCCCCAGAATAAGCACATAAATTTTAATGGTGCATCCTTATTTTATCTAACTTGCCAAGAAGAAGCACATAAGTTTGATGGTGCGGCCTTATCTTATCTAACTTGCCATGAATGAGTACATAAGTTTGATGGTGAAGCCTTATCCTATCTAACCTGCCCAGAATAAGCAAATAAGTTTGATAGTGAGGCTTTAACTTATATAATTTGCCCGGAATAAGCACATAAGTTTGATGGGAAGGCTTTACTTATCTAACTTTTCCAGAATAAGCACATAAGTTTGATGGGGATGCCTTAACTTATCTAACTTATCCAGGATACGCACCTAAGTTTGATGTTGAGGCTTTTAAATATCTAACTTTTCCACAATAAGCACATAAATTTTAATGATACGGCCTTATCTTATCTAACTTGCCATGAATAAGCACATATATTCGATGGGAAGGCTTTAACTTACCTAATTTGCCCAGGATAAGTACATAAGCTTGATGGTGAAGCCTTATCCCATCTAACCTGCCCATGATAAGCACATACTTTTGATGGTGAGCACTTAACTTATTTTTTATGCCCAGGATAAGCACTTTAGTTTGATGGTGAGGCTTTACCCCTATATAAATTTCCCAGTATAAGCACATCAGTTTGATGATGAGGCTTTACCTTATCTGAATTTCCCAGAATAGGCACATAAGTTTGATGGTGAGGCTTTCTTGCCCAGGATAAGCACGCACACAAGTTTGATTGTGAGGCCTTAAATTACCTAACTTGCCCAGAATAAGCACATAACTTTGATGGTGAGGCTTTGTCTTATCTATCTTGCCCAGGATAAGCACATACGTTTGATGGTGAGCCTTTAACTCATCTAAATTGCCCAGGATGAGCACTTTTATTTGTGGGCTTTACCTTATCTAAATTTCCCAAGATAAGCACAAGTACAATTGCAACACAATCTACCTGAGTGACGTATTTTATGCCTTCAGTAATTCATTTGTTGAGAGAACCAATTACAATAAAAAAAAAGTCGCTTACAATTACATATTTCCAAGTGTTCGAAATTCGATTTGATTCGAAAAAAATATTCGATTCTGATTTCACAAGGTATTCGAAAATGCCAGCCCTAGTTACAGCGAAGAATATATTGCAAACAATACCAGTACGGTATCCTATTATACGTGTATAAAACTTGCAGTAAGGGGGATGAAATATGATGAAAAAAAAACGGTCAATAAATTTGTAAATAACAATAAACATAGATTAATTCACTGAGTCATTCAGAGTCACCAGATTTAATGCGGCGGTTATTCTAGAATTGGATTCCTTGCACATGTAATTGTTTGCACGACTTGCTTACAGCGAGCAATTTGATAGGCGTATCAAATGTTTCGTACATGTTTGATAAACCCCTGCTGTACATTTCTGAGTGTTATGAAAAGCTAAGTTTCCAGACAGCTATTTCCTCATCTAAATTAAATTAATGGAACAGGTATGGGGGTTGGGTAATGGAGGATTACTTTACAGAATTTCGATATTTAGGTAAAAACGGGGATGTGTCGATGACACAATTTTCTACTTCATAAAAATCTGATTGATTGTATACAAACTATATTCTTTTACAGTGACAAACCTAACTGACTCTCAGATTCAAGAAGTTTAATAAATTCAAACATTACATATAGACCAAAACTTGTTTCTAGCTAGTTACTTATCAAAAAACTCAATCTAGAACTTAAATCAAATTCATTTCGCTTCCAACACGTATTTGCTTTTGTCACTAATATGATATTGTGAGATGGAAGAATTATCTATATTTGTCACTTCAATTTAGTTTGTCGACTAAAGATTATAATGTATCTCATTTTAATATTTAACCAAATGTGCAATGTGAGAATAGCACAGTTTTTTTTACGCTCCAACGCCCAATTTGAAAACCTATTTTTATAAATAGAATATTTCTTTTGTACAGAGACAAGCATAACTGACTCCCATATTCAAGAAGTTCGAGCTGAGCAGATTCATGAAGTTCATGCTGACAAAGTCGTGCAGAATGTTACGAACATTGATGGTAGGTCGGATTTATCAGAATTTCCAGAGTTGAAATAATATGAATATCGACTATGAACCTACACTTGATTTGAGCAAAGTGTGTAAAGAAAACAATCTCTTAACATTACTCTTGGAACTGTCTTGATATTACCCAATTTTAATCTTAAGGATGATTAATATAAGTTTTAAGTACCCTAACTCGTAATAGTACTGAAATAAGGAAAATCAAATTTAAAATTATGGCCTAACCCTAACCTGGTACACATGCTACGTTCCAGTGTCTAACTTGTCCAGGATAAGCACATAAGTTTGATGGTGAGGCTTTAACTTACCTACGTTTCCCAGGATAAGAACCTAAGTTCAATGGCGAGGCTGTAATTTATCTAACTTTCCCAGGATACTCACCTAAGTTTGATGGTGCGGCCTTTACTTATCTAACTTGCCAAGAATAAGCACATTAGTTTGATGGTGCGGCCATATCTTATCTAACTTGCCATGAATGAGCACATAAATTTGATGGGAAGGCTTCAACTTACCTAACTTGCCCAGGATAAGTACATAAGTTTGATGGTGAAGCCTTATCTTATCTAACCTGCCCAGAATAAGCAAATAAGTTTGATAGTGAGCCCTTAACTTATCTAATATGCCCAAGATAAGCACTTTAGTTTGATGGTGAGGCTTTACCTTGTATAAATTTCCCAGTATAAGCACATCAGTTTGATGATGAGGCTTTACCTTATCTGAATTTACCAGGATAGGCACATAAGTTTAATGATAAGGCTTTCTTGCCCAGGATAAGCACGCACACAAGTTTGATTGTGAGACCTTAAATTATCTAACTTGCCCAGAATAAGCACATAACTTTGATGGTGAGGCATTATCTTATCTAACTTGCCCATGATAAGCACATACGTTCGATGGTGAGCCTTTCACTGATCTAAATTGCCCAGGATGAGCACTTTAATTTGTGGGCTATACCTTATCTAAATTTCCCAAGATAAGCACAAGTACAATTGAAACACAATCTACCTGAGTGACGTATTTTATGCCTTCAGTAATTCATTTGTTGAGAGAACCAATTACAATAAAAAAAGTCGCTTACAATTACATATTTCCAAGTATTCGAAATTCGATTCGATTCGAAAAAAAATTCGATTCGATTCTGATATCACAAGGTATTCGAAAATGCCCAGCCCTAGTTACAGCGAAGAATATATTGCAAACAATACCAGTGCGGTATCCTATTATACGTGTATAAAACTTGCAGTAAGAGGGATGAAATATGATGAAAAAAAACGGTCAATAAATTTGTAAATAACAGTAAACATAGATTAATTCACTGAGTCATTCAGAGTTACCAGATTTAATGCGGCGGTTATTCTAGAATTGGATTCCTTGCTCATGTAATTGTTTGCCCGACTTGCTTACAGCGAGCAATTTGATAGGCGTATCAAATGTTTCGTACATGTTGATAAACCCCTGCTGTACATTTCTGAGTGTTATGAAAAGCTAAGTTTCCAGACAGCTATTTCCTCATCTAAATTAAATTAATGGAACAGGTATGGGGGTTGGGTAATGGAGGATTACTTTACGGTATTTCGATATTTAGATAAAAACGGGGATGTGTCGATGACACAATTTTCTACTTCATAAAAATCTGATTGATTGTATACAAACTATATTCTTTTACAGAGACAAACATACCTGACTCTCAGATTCAAGAAGTTTAATAGAGTTATAAAACTAAACATTACATATAAACCAAAACTTGTTTCTAGCTAGTTACTTATCAAAAAACTCAATCTAGAACTTGAATTAAATTCATTTCGCTTCCAACACGTATTTGCTTTTGTCACTAATAAAGTATTGTGAGATGGAAGAACTATCTATATTTGTCACTTCAATTTAGTTTGTCGACTAAAGTTTATAATGTATCTCATTTTAATATTTAACCAAATGTGCAATGTGAGAATAGCACAGTTTTTTTTACGCTCCAACGCCCAATTTAAAAACCTATTTTTATAAATAGAATATTTCTTTTGGACAGAGACAAGCATAACTGACTCCCATATTCAAGAAGTTCGAGCTGAGCAGATTCATGAAGTTCATGCTGACAAGGTCGTGCAGAATGTTACGAACATTGATGGTAGGTCGGATTTATCAGAATTTCCAGAGTTGAAATAATCTGAATATTGACTATGAACCTACACTTGATTTTAGCAAAGTGTGTAAAGAAAACAATCTCTTAACATTACTCTTGGAACTGTCTTGATATTGCCCCACTTTTAATCCCAAGGAAGATTAGTATAAGTTTTAAGTACCCTAACTCGTAATAGTACTGAAATAAGCAAAATCGAATTTAAAATTATGGCCTAACCCTAACCTGGTACACATGCTACGTTCCAGTGTCTAACTTGCCCAGGATAAGCACATAAGTTTGATGGTGATGCCTTAACTTATCTAACTTGTCTAGGATAAGCACCTAAGTTTGATGTTGAGGCCTTTACTTATCTAATTTCCCCAGAATAAGCACATAAATTTTAATGGTGCATCCTTATTTTATCTAACTTGCCAAGAATAAGCACATAAGTTTGATGGTGCGGCCTTATCTTATCTAACTTGCCATGAATGAGTTCATAAGTTTGATGGTGAAGCCTTATCTTATCTAACCTGCCCAGAATGAGCAAATAAGTTTGATAGTGAGGCTTTAAAACTCTCTCGCTGCTCGTTAGTCCATATGGGATTCTCAACGCTATTAAGTCTAGCACATGGTAACCTACTGTTAATATCGTCTTAGCTGTTTATTGACGTAATGCCCTGATATGAGAGAAGCGATAAAACCTTCCAGCCGTGACGCAAAGTGCGAATCGTATAAATAGCGTGGATTTCAAAATCGCCTGTCAGACGTCTGAAAATGTCGACTCAGCTCAGACAGAAAATACTCCTTTATAACGACTTATTATTGCTTTAGCATGTATTTTCAGTCATACTAACTATCCCTGATCATTCCTGGCGCTGTGTTGTTTTGATAAATATGATTTCGACTGCTCCATAGTTGGCAGAGGTATGGAGATTTTTTGTATGTAAAAAAACGTAAAATTAATGGTAATTTTAACGCGTGAATGCGCGTATGAGATTGTTTACGTCGTTCTACGCGCATTTCCGTCGAAAAAATTTAATTTTTTTGCATTGGGGGTGGTCTGTGCAGTAATAATAAGAGCTGTGACGTCATCAGTATCGATAATTTGACCTTGAACTTGACAATACTGTAAATACAATTGTGAATTTCAGAGTAATAACCATTTATGCTATAATAGTCGTTTCGGTATTGTTATGTTAGGAAAAACTTGACGAAAACGTTGAAGAAAAAACTAATTAATTAGGAATTAATTATTAACCCTCTACTGTACACAGAATATCTCAAAGTCCAATTTTTTTTTTAGAAATTTTTGAAATTTTTTTGCAAAATTTTTTTTTCGAGGAGTATGTTTTAAAGATATATTGCTGAATAGAACTCTAGCAGACGCTTTTAAAAAGCCATGATTGAAGCTTAAGGGCTTAATGGTTGACAAAAAAAATAAGTTTAAAAATACCCATAAAATGGTCAGGGATTGGAGCGGTCGGAAGGTTAACTTATATAATTTGCCCGGAATAAGCACATAAGTTTGATGGGAAGGCTTTACTTATCTAACTTTTCCAGAATAAGCACATAAGTTTGATGGAAAAGCTTTAACTTACCTAACTTGCCCAGGATAAGCACATAAGTTTGATGGTGATGCCTTAACTTATCTAACTCATCCAGGATGAGCACCTAAGTTTGATGTTGAGGCTTTTAAATATCTAACTTTCCCACAATAAGCACATAAATTTTAATGGTGCGGCCCTATCTTATCTAACTTGCCATGAATAAGCACATATATTCGATGGGAAGGCTTTAACTTACCTAATTTGCCCAGGATAAGTACATAATTTTGATGGTGAAGCCTTATCCCATCTAACCTGCCCAGGATAAGCACATACTTTTGATGGTGAGCACTTAACTTATTTTTTATGCCCAGGATAAGCACTTTAGTTTGATGGTGAGGCTTTACCCCTATATAAATTTCCCAGTATAAGCACTTCAGTTTGATGATGAGGCTTTACCTTATCTGAATTTCCCAGGATAGGCACATAAGTTTGATGGTGACGCTTTCTTGCCCAGGATAAGCACGCACACAAGTCTGATTGTGAGGCCTTAAATTACCTAACTTACCCAGAATAATCACATAACTTTGATGGTGGGGCTTTGTCTTATCTATCTTGCCCAGGATAAGCACATACGTTTGATGGTGAGCCTTTAACTGATCTAAATTTCCCAGGATGAGCACTTTAATTTGTGGGCTACACCTTATCTAAATTTCCCAAGATAAGCACAAGTACAATTGCAACACAATCTACCTGAGTGACGTATTTTATGCCTTCAGTAATCCATTTTTTGAGAGAACCAATTACAATAAAAAAAAAGTCGCTTACAATTACATATTTCCAAGTGTTCGAAATTCGATTCGATTCGAAAAAAATATTCGATTCGATTCTGATATCACAAGGTATTCGAAAATGCCAGCCCTAGTTACAGCGAAGAATATATTGCAAACAATACCAGTACGGTATCCTATTATACGTGTATAAAACTTGCAGTAAGGGGGATGAAATATGATGAAAAAAAACGGTCAATAAATTTGTAAATAACAGTAAACATAGATTAATTCACTGAGTCATTCAGAGTTACCAGTTTTAATGCGGCGGTTATTCTAGAATTGGATTCGTTGAACATGTAATTGTTTGCCCGACTTGCTTACAGCGAGCAATTTGGTAGGCGTATCAAATGTTTCGTACATGTTTGATAAACCCCTGCTGTACATTTCTGAGTGTCATGAAAAGCTAAGTTTCCAGACAGCTATTTCCTCATCTAAATTACATTAATGGGACAGGTATGGGGGTTGGGTAATGGAGGATTACTTTACAGTATTTTGATATTTAGATAAAAACGGGGATGTGTCAATGACACAATTTTCTACTTCATAAAAATCTGATTGATTGTATACAAACTATATTCTTTTACAGAGACAAACCTAACTGACTCTCAGATTCAAGAAGTTTAATAAATTCAAACATTACATATAGACCAAAACTTGTTTCTAGCTAGTTACTTATCAAAAAACTCAATCTAGAACTTGAATTAAATTCATTTCGCTTCCAACACGTATTTGCTTTTGTCACTAATAAAGTATTGTGAGATGGAAAAACTATCTATATTTGTCACTTCAATTTAGTTTGTCGACTAAAGATTATAATGTATCTCATTTTAATATTTAACCAAATGTGCAATGTGAAAATAGCACAGTTTTTTTTTACGCTCCAATGCCCAATTTGAAAACTTATTTTTATATTTAAAAAATTTCTTTCGTACAGAGACAAGCATAACTGACTCCCATATTCAAGAAGTTCGAGCTGAGCAGATTCATGAGGTTCATGCTGACAAGGTCGTGCAGAATGTTACGACCATTGATGGTAGGTCGGATTTATCAGAATTTCCAGAGTTGATATTATATGAATATTGACTATGAACCTACACTTGATTTTAGCAAAGTGTGTAAAGAAAGCAATCTCCTAACATTACTCTTGGAACTGTCTTGATATTGCCCCAATTTTAATCTTAATGATGATTAGTATAAGTTTTAAGTACCCAACTCGTAATAGTACTGAAATAAGGAAAATCGAATTTAAAATTATGGCCTAACCCTAACCTGGTACACATGCTACGTTCCAGTGTCTAACTTGCCCAGGATAAGCACATAAGTTTGATGGTGAGGCTTTAACTTACCTAAGTTTCCAAGGATACGAACCTAAGTTCGATGGCGAGGCTTTAACTTATCTAACTTTCCCAGGATACTCACCTAAGTTTGATGGTGCGGCCTTTACTTATCTAACTTTCCCAGAATAAGCACATAAGTGTGATGATGCGACCTTATCTTATCTAACTTGCCAAGAATAAGCACGTAAGTTTGATGGGAAGGCTTTAACTTACCTAACTTGCCCAGGATAAGCACATAAATTTGATGGTGATACCTTAACTTATCTAACTTGTCCAGGATAAGCACCTAAGTTCGATGTTGAGGCCTTTCTTATCTAACTTCCCCAGAATAAGCACAGAAATTTTAATGGTGCGGCCTTATCTTATCTAACTTGCCAAGAATAAGCACATAAGTTTGATGGGAAGGCTTTAACTTATCTAACTTGCCCAGGATAAGTACATAAGTTTGATGGTGAAGCCTTATCTTATCTATTTTGCCCAGAAAAAAGGAAAAAGATTGATAGCGAGGCTTTACTTATCTAACTTTCCCGGGATAAGCACATAAGTTTGATTGTTAGGCCTTAATTTATCTAATTTTCCCAGGATACTCACCTAAGTTTGATGGTGCGGCCTTTACTTATCTAACTTGCCAAGAATAAGCACATAAGTTTGATGGAGAAGCCTTATCTTATCTAACTTGCCATGAATAAGCACATAAATTTGATGGTGAGGCTTTATCGTATCTAACTTGCCCATGATAAGCACATACGTGTGATGGTGAGCCCTTAACTCATCTAAATTGCCCAGGATGAGCACTTTTATTTGTGGGCTATACCTTATCTAAATTTCCCAAGATAAGCACAAGTACAATTGTAACATAATTTACCTGAGTGAAGTATTCTATGCCTTCAGTAATTCATTTGTTGAGATAACCAATTACAATAAAAAAAGTCGCTTACAATTACATATTTCCAAGTATTCGAAATTCGATTCGAAAAAATATTCGATTTGATTCTGATATCACAAGGTATTCGAAAATGCCCATCCCTAGTTACAGCGAAGAATATATTGCAAACAATACCAGTACGGTATCCTATTATACGTGTATAAAACTTGCAGTAAGGGGGATGAGATATGATGAAAAAAAATGGTCAATAAATTTGTAAATAACAGTAAACATAGATTAATTCACTGAGTCATTCAGAGTTACCAGTTTTAATGCGGCGGTTATTCTAGAATTGGATTCCTTGCACATGTAATTGTTTGCCCGACTTGCTTACAGCGAGCAATTTGATAGGCGTATCAAATGTTTCGTACATGTTGATAAACCCCTGCTGTACATTTCTGAGTGTCATGAAAAGCTAAGTTTCCAGACAGCTATTTCCTCATCTAAATTAAATTAATGGAACAGGTTTGGGGGTTGGGTAATGGAGGATTACTTTACGGTATTTCGATATTTAGATAAAAACGGGGATGTGTCGATGACACAATTTTCTACTCCATAAAAATCTGATTGATTGTATACAAACTATATTCTTTTACAGAGACAAACATACCTGACTCTCAGATTCAAGAAGTTTAATAGAGTTATAAAACTAAACATTACATATAAACCAAAACTTGTTTCTAGCTAGTTACTTATCAAAAAACTCAATCTAGAACTTGAATTAAATTCATTTCGCTTCCAACACGTATTTGCTTTTGTCACTAATAAAGTATTGTGAGATGGAAGAACTATCTATATTTGTCACTTCAATTTAGTTTGTCGACTAAAGATTATAATGTATCTCATTTTAATATTTAACCAAATGTGCAATGTGAGAATAGCACAGTTTTTTTTACGCTCCAACGCCCAATTTGAAAACCTATTTTTATAAATAGAATATTTCTTTTGGACAGAGACAAGCATAACTGACTCCCATATTCAAGAAGTTCGAGCTGAGCAGATTCATGAAGTTCATGCTGACAAGGTCGTGCAGAATGTTACGAACATTGATGGTAGGTCGGATTTATCAGAATTTCCAGAGTTGAAATAATATGAATATTGACTATGAACCTACACTTGATTTTAGCAAAGTGTGTAAAGAAAACAATCTCTTAACATTACTCTTGGAACTGTCTTGATATTGCCCCACTTTTAATCCTAAGGAAGATTAGTATAAGTTTTAAGTACCCTAACTCGTAATAGTACTGAAATAAGCAAAATCGAATTTAAAATTATGGCCTAACCCTAACCTGGTACACATGCTACGTTCCAGTGTCTAACTTGCCCAGGATAAGCACATAAGTTTGATGTTGAGGCTTTAACTTACCTACGTTTCCCAGGATACGAACCTAAGTTCGATGGCGAGGCTTTAATTTATCTAACTTTCCCAGGATACTCACCTAAGTTTGATGGTGCGGCCTTTACTTATCTAACTTGCCACGAATAAGCACATAAGTTTGATGGTGCGGCCTTATCTTATCTAACTTGCCAAGAATAAGCACATAACTTTGTTGGGAAGGCTTTAACTTACCTAACTTGCCCAGGATAAGCACATAAGTTTGATGGTGATGCCTTAACTTATCTAACTTGTCTAGGATAAGCACCTAAGTTTGATGTTGAGGCCTTTACTTATCTAACTTCCCCAGAATAAGCACATAAATTTTAATGGTGCATCCTTATTTTAACTAACTTGCCAAGAATAAGCACATAAGTTTGATGGTGCGGCCTTATCTTATCAAACCTGCCCAGAATAAGCAAATAAGTTTGATAGTGAGGCTTTAACTTATATAATTTACCGGAATAAGCACATAAGTTTGATGGGAAGGCTTTACTTATCTAACTTTTCCAGAATAAGCACATAAGTATGATGGGAAAGCTTTAACTTACCTAACTTGCCCAGGATAAGCACATAAGTTTGGTGGTGATGCCTTAACTTATCTAACTTATCCAGGATAAGCACCTAAGTTTGATGTTGAGGCTTTTAAATATCTAACTTTCCCACAATAAGCACATAAATTTTAATGGTGCGGCCTTATCTTATCTAACTTGCCATGAATAAGCACATATATTCGATGGGAAGGCTTTAACTTACCTAATTTGCCCAGGATAAGTACATAAGGTTGATGGTGAAGCCTTATCCCATCTAACCTGCCCAGGATAAGCACATACTTTTGATGGTGAGCACTTAACTTATTTTTTATGCCCAGGATAAGCACTTTATTTTGATGGTGAGGCTTTACCCCTATATAAATTTCCCAGTATAAGCACATCAGTTTGATGATGAGGCTTTACCTTATCTGAATTTCCCAGGATAGGCACATTAGTTTGATGGTGAGGCTTTCTTGCCCAGGATAAGCACGCACACAAGTTTGATTGTGAGGCCTTAAATTACCTAACTTGCCCAGAATAAGCACATAACTTTGATGGTGAGGCTTTGTCTTATCTATCTTGCCCAGGATAAGCACATACGTTTGATGGTGAGCCTTTAACTGATCTAAATTTCCCAGGATGAGCACTTTAATTTGTGGGCTTTACCTTATCTAAATTTCCCAAGATAAGCACAAGTACAATTGCAACACAATCTACCTGAGTGACGTATTTTATGCCTTCAGTAATTCATTTGTTGAGAGAACCAATTACAATAATAAAAAAGTCGCTTACAATTACATATTTCCAAGTGTTCGAAATTCGATTTGATTCGAAAAAAATATTCGATTCGATTCTGATTTCACAAGGTATTCAAAAATGCCAGCCCTAGTTACAGCGAAGAATATATTGCAAACAATACCAGTACGATATCCTATTATACGTGTATAAAACTTGCAGTAAGAGGGATGAAATATGATGAAAAAAAAACGGTCAATAAATTTGTAAATAACAGTAAACATAGATTAATTCACTGAGTCATTCAGACTTCAGACACGTATTTGCTTTTGTCACTAATATGGTATTGTGAGATGGAAGAACTATCTATATTTGTCACTTCAATTTAGTTTGTCGACTAAAGATTATAATGTATCTCATTTTAATATTTAACCAAATGTGCAATGTGAGAATAGCACAGTTTTTTTTACGCTCCAACGCCCAATTTGAAAACCTATTTTTATAAATAGAATATTTCTTTTGTACAGAGACAAGCATAACTGACTCCCATATTCAAGAAGTTCGAGCTGAACAGATTCATGAAGTTCATGCTGACAAGGTCGTGCAGAATGTTACGAACATAGATGGTAGGTCGGATTTATCAGAATTTCCAGAGTTGAAATAATATGAATATTGACTATGAACCTACACTTGATTTTAGCAAAGTGTGTAAAGAAAACAATCTCTTAACATTACTCTTGGAACTGTCTTGATATTGCCCCACTTTTAATCCTAAGGAAGATTAGTATAAGTTTTAAGTACCCTAACTCGTAATAGTACTGAAATAAGCAAAATCGAATTTAAAATTATGGCCTAACCCTAACCTGGTACACATGCTACGTTCCAGTGTCTAACTTGCCCAGGATAAGCACATAAGTTTGATGGTGAGGCTTTAACTTACCTACGTTTCCCAGGAAACGAACCTAAGTTCGATGGCGAGGCTTTAATTTATCTAACTTTCCCAGGATACTCACCTAAGTTTGATGGTGCGGCCTTTACTTATCTAACTTGCCAAGAATAAGCACATAAGTTTGATGGTGCGGCCTTATCTTATCTAACTTGCCAAGAATAAGCACATAACTTTGATGGGAAGGCTTTAACTTACCTAACTTGCCCAGGATAAGCACATAAGTTTGATGGTGATGCCTTAACTTATCTAACTTGTCTAGGATAAGCACCTAAGTTTGATGTTGAGGCCTTTAGTTATCTAACTTCCCCAGAAAAGGCACATAAATTTTAATGGTGCATCCTTATTTTATCTAACTTGCCAAGAATAAGCACATAAGTTTGATGGTGCGGCCTTATCTTATCTAACTTGCCATGAATGAGTACATAAGTTTGATGGTGAAGCCTTATCTTATCTAACCTGCCCAGAATAAGCAAATAAGTTTGATAGTGAGGCTTTAACTTATATAATTTGCCCGGAATAAGCACATAGGTTTGATGGGAAGGCTTTACTTATCTAACTTTTCCAGAATAAGCACATAAGTTTGATGGGAAAGCTTTAACTTACCTAACTTGCCCAGGATAAGCACATAAGTTTGATGGTGATGCCTTAACTTATCTAACTTATCCAGGATAAGCACCTAAGTTTGATGTTGAGGCTTTTAAATATCTAACTTTCCCACAATGAGCACATAAATTTTAATGGTGCGGCCTTATCTTATCTAACTTGCCACGAATAAGCACATATATTCGATGGGAAGGCTTTAACTTACCTAATTTGCCCAGGATAAGTACATAAGTTTGATGGTGAAGCCTTATCCCATCTAACCTGCCCAGGATAAGCACATACTTTTGATGGTGAGCACTTAACTTATTTTTTATGCCCAGGATAAGCACTTTAGTTTGATGGTGAGGCTTTACCCCTATATAAATTTCCCAGTATAAGCACATCAGTTTGATGATGAGGCTTTACCTTATCTGAATTTCCCAGGATAGGCACATAAGTTTGATGGTGACGCTTTCTTGCCCAGGATAAGCACGCACACAAGTTTGATTGTGAGGCCTTAAATTACCTAACTTACCCAGAATAAGCACATAACTTTGATGGTGGGGCTTTGTCTTATCTATCTTGCCCAGGATAAGCACATACGTTTGATGGTGAGCCTTTAACTGATCTAAATTTCCCAGGATGAGCACTTTAATTTGTGGGCTTTACCTTATCTAAATTTCCCAAGATAAGCACAAGTACAATTGCAACACAATCTACCTGAGTGACGTATTTTATGCCTTCAGTAATTCATTTGTTGAGAGAACCAATAACAATAAAAAAAAAGTCGCTTACAATTACATATTTCCAAGTGTTCGAAATTCGATTCGATTCGAAAAAAATATTCGATTCGATTCTGATATCACAAGGTATTCGAAAATGCCAGCCCTAGTTACAGCGAAGAATATATTGCAAACAATACCAGTACGGTATCCTATTATACGTGTATAAAACTTGCAGTAAGGGGGATGAAATATGATGAAAAAAAAAAAGGTCAATAAATTTGTAAATAACAGTAAACATAGATTAATTCACTGAGTCATTCAGAGTCACCAGATTTAATGCGGCGGTTATTCTAGAATTGGATTCCTTGCTCATGTAATTGTTTGCCCGACTTGCTTACAGCGAGCAATTTGATAGGCGTATCAAATGTTTCGTACATGTTGATAAACCCCTTCTGTACATTTCTGAGTGTTATGAAAAGCTAAGTTTCCAGACAGCTATTTCCTCATCTAAATTAAATTAATAGAACAGGTATGGGGGTTGGGTAATGGAGGATTACTTTACAGTATTTCGATATTTAGGTAAAAACGGGGATGTGTCGATGACACAATTTTCTACTTCATAAAAATCTGATTGATTGTATACAAACTATATTCTTTTACAGTGACAAACATAACTGACTCTCAGATTCAAGAAGTTTAATAAATTCAAACATTACATATAGACCAAAACTTGTTTCTAGCTAGTTACTTATCAAAAAACTCAATCTAGAACTTGAATCAAATTCATTTCGCTTCCAACACGTATTTGCTTTTGTCACTAATATGGTATTGTGAGATGGAAGAATTATCTATATTTGTCACTTCAATTGAGTTTGTCGACTAAAGATTTTAATGTATCTCATTTTAATATTTAACCAAATGTGCAATGTGAAAATAGCACAGTTTTTTTTTACGCTCCAATGCCCAATTTGAAAACTTATTTTTATATTTAAAATATTTCTTTCGTACAGAGACAAGCATAACTGGCTCCCATATTCAAGAAGTTCGAGCTGAGCAGATTCATGAGGTTCATGCTGACAAGGTCGTGCAGAATGTTACGAACATTGATGGTAGGTCGGATTTATCAGAATTTCCAGAGTTGATATTATATGAATATTGACTATGAACCTACACTTGATTTTGGCGAAGTGTGTAAAGAAAGCAATCTCTTAACATTACTCTTGGAACTGTCTTAATATTGCCCCACTTTTAATCTTAAGGAAGATTAGTATAAGTTTTAAGTACCCTAACTCGTAATAGTACTGAAATAAGCAAAATCGAATATAAAATTATGGCCTAACCCTAACCTGGTACACATGCTACGTTCCAGTGTCTAACTTGCCCAGGATAAGCACATAAGTTTGATGGTGAGGCTTTAACTTGCCTAACTTGCCCAGGATAAGCACATAAATTTGATGGTGATGCCTTTACTTATCTAACTTCCCCAGAATAAGCACAGAAATTTTAATGGTGCGGCCTTATCTTATCTAACTTGCCAAGAATAAGCACATAAGTTTGATGGGAAGGCTTTACCTTATCTAACTTGCCCAGGATAAGTACATAAGTTTGATGGTGAAGCCTTATCTTTTCTAACTTGCCAAGAATAAGCACATACCTTTGATGGTGAGGCTTTAACTTATATAATTTGCCCGGAATAAGCACATTAGTTTGATGGGGAGGCTTTACCTAATCTAACTTTCCCGGGATAAGCACATAAGTTTGATTGCGAGGCCTTAATTTATCTAACTTGCCCAGGATAAGTAACCTAACCTAAGACAAACAGAATTATCAAACAAAAATTAAAAACTGTCATTAAATTGTACAAGGACTTTATTTATATATATACATCCACCAGTTTGTAACGTAAACGTTCTTTAATTTTGTGACATGTTTCATATATTTTTTTTTGGTTGACAACACCTGTATCTGTTCATTGTTGGACATTAAGAAAGGCTAGGTTTCCAGAATGGAATTGCTTCATCTAAATTTATTAAAGGAACAGTTATGGTGGTTGAGTGTCCAATAAACAATAGTATCAGCGCATTCACTTACTAATAATCTAAGGCTTTCTTTATCTTCCAGCAAGCCATTTATATCTGTATCTGATTTGGTATTTTGATCTTAAAGAACTATAAATTGTCCTCCATACAGTTGGTGCTATATTTTATATACACATTATAATATATTTACAGAGACGAGCATAACTGACTCTAACATTCAAAAAGTTCGAGCTGAGAAGATTCATGAAGTTCATGCTGAAAAGGTCGTGCAGAATGTAACAAATGGTGGGTTGGATTCCAGATGAATGTTATGAATATTTTAATCATTACTGCAAAGAAAATTACGTTTTTAAACTAACACTTGTAAATTATTGTTAGTGAAATTTTTCAGGAAAAGACTAATAATCTAAAATAAAATATTATGTGACAATAGATGACTGGTTGACCTTTTCAAGTGCATGAATATAGATGATGGAGGAGGCCAAATAAGTGAATCAGCTGCGTTGATGAGGAGTCCAATAATTCTTTTTCAAATAATTTTTTCAACATTGAACCTATTCAAATACAGCAGTGCTTTTATGACAAGAAAACTTTCAATATTTTAAAGTCTAATACTTTTTATTTATTGTAACAATTTCTTTTGCAGAAACATTCATCAACAAGCCCAAGGAAGTGTATGTAAAGCATAAAGTTGTTAAAAATGTATACATTTTCCAAGCTCATGGTAAGAAAACTTATTCTCATAAATTCCAAAATTCGTAAAACTCTACATATATGGGTTAGAATTAAATCAAATGAAAAGTAGTCAAAAACTGATTCAAAAGCGAGTAAATTAGATTAATATTTTTGTTTAAAATAGAGAACAATTTTGAGATATTTTTCAAGCTGATGCTTAGGGTAGTGTGACACCCAATGTGAGTTGGCTGTTATCTTTGCAAAACTAATTCTTATCTTCATTGCATAGTTAAAGTCAATGGTATCGAGAACAGAATGCTAAAATAACAGTTTCTTCTTCTCTCATCTCATCTTTCGATATGCACCACTTTATGATGTTTGAGAAATATTAATCTTGGAAATATAGGAAAATGGTTTTTAAAAGATCTCTTGTATCCACTCTGATATTTCCACACTTCCGTTTCCAGCTTCTCATCAATAAAAAATTTTTTATTCTCTTCTTAAGAACTAGTTGCAGCCTCCCCATGCCTATACACTAAACTAGTCGATCTGTGACTAGTACTGTAATTGAATTTCTCTGAGTGGTAGGCATCTTTCTAGGCACTTTATTGCGTAGCGTTCAAGAAAATATCACATAGTAAGTTTGTGAAATATATGATCCTACTTGACTCTATTATTCTGTTTTCTGTTTTGCATCCTTGCTTTAGCTGACCTCGACTTCTCTTTATGTTTTGTTACACACTGAACCAATAAATCTAAGTTGGTGTGTCAAATAAGAGATCTCAAGCCCAAACCAATGACTCAGAATTTGAGTAGGCCTAAAGCAAATCTGGTTATTCAATTAGGTGACCGTACATTTGAACCTATTCATTTGCACCGAAATATCCGCGAGTTCAATCTATATGAGGGTGCTAAAATCCATGGGTTAGGGTTAGTATGGATTCAAATATCTATAAAAAAAATTTCCTCAGATGCAATAGTATGCAGATGCAATTGTCGTGGGTTCAAATTACGGGTTCAAATGTCCGTGGATTCAAATGTAATGGAACCATTCAATTACATACATTGTTTAAACACAAATTTATGTTTGACCGAACTTATCAAAAATAATCATGATTCGGTTAAATATCAATTGTTTTTTTAATCTAATTTCAGACATTTGCAGATCTATTTGATAGATTTTCGAGAACTACTTGTAACACGTTTTAGTTATCGTAAACTAGGCCATTTATAAAGTATAACATGGTTAAGGCTATGAATATTTTATAATATATAGCATAGGCAGGGCGAAACAAGATTCAATTAATGTGCACCAAAATTTTGACTAATTGTGTCTTTTAGATTGTTGTGACTTAAACATAAGTTGAGAGTAGGGGATAGTTATCATAGTATTTAATATAGAAGAGAAGAAAGTCAATAAGAAGGCTTAATCGTATGGTTTACAACGACCTCTCCTACGGTTACCAGTGCATGTCGGGTAGGGGATTACTTAGCCAGGTATTCCTTTTCAAATGCATTGACCTGGCAGATTTTTATTCAATAATAGCGAAACCTAATTAATTGTTAGCCCATGCGCACTGAACGATACTGATATAGACCTGATAAATAACGAGTCATAAATTCAACCTAGTTTGCATTAAATTTTCACCCGTTCAATTTAGACCAACCATGTTCAAGTCTCTCATCGCCCACACAGCAAAGGCCGACTGAAGCAGGTGCTCAACCAAATAAAGCTCCTGACCCTGCATATAAAGGAGATTCATTGCCCCCTCCATCAGGTATGTCATAAATAAAATTCAGGTGACTTACACTTCCAGTACCACATATACAGAGTGTCTCAAAAGTAAGTATACACATTTAAATTTTGTTTTTGCTTGGTACTCATCATAGAGCGTTCATTTCTTCAGAAAACATAGTATGGATCAACTACAGATCCAGTTTTCATCATTTTGCGATGGATTGCATAAATTGTTCGTCGTGTAAGAGCCGAATTAATTCCAAATTCTGTTAAAGAGGCGCTGACACTGCCTTACTGATTTACATGCTTCTTGCTAAACAGCAATTTTGCACCTCATTTCTTGGGTTAATCTCGTTGTCATTCTGTGGGTTGATAAAAAATGCAAGCAATACTCAAATTTTACTACTTATCCATACTATGTTTTCTGAAGTAATGAACGCTCTATGATGAGTATCTAAAAAGCAAATAAAAATTAAAAATGTTAAAATTAGTTTGAGTGGTTTTATTATTATATTTGAATGAATATCCTACCCTAAGGAAGCAAAAATTCAAGCTGATTGTTGTTGTCAACATCATCCAATCCCATGGTAAGGAAACTTGGAAATATTGATCCCATAAATAATTTCTATGTTCTAAATATTGTCCTGGGGCACATTGGTGGCTTTGATAGAAAAAAATAATCAAAAATTGATTATTGATATAAAAACAAGTTATTTATGATTAAAATTGCTCGTAATTTGAGTTTACCTTATCGATAGATTTTTTATGCGGATGTTTAGATAGTGTCATTCATAATGTAAGTTTGCTTTTATCCATGCAAGACACACTATTATCTGTATTGCATATTTGATTTATTTTGCATTCAATGACATTTAAAACAGACAATTCATGTTTACAGAACCTGCTTTAGAGCTGGCCCCAGCTTGCCAGGTTTGCCTATACACTGAGCAAGTGAAAGAATGTCTCTGAGTGATAGGCTGTGCATGACGCATCTTTTTAGGTGTTTTTTAGGCTTTCGGGAAATTATCCCATCAAAGATATGGGAAAGATATGATCCTAATTGACTTCATTATTCTGTTTTCTCTTCTGCATCTCTGCTTTATAACTGGCTCCATGAGTTGGTTTGATACACACTGAATTGGTATATCGATGTTGGTGCGTTAAATAGAAGATCTGAAGCCCAAACCAAAGATTCTGAATTTGAGTTGGCTTGAGCAAATCTTGTTATTTAATTACAAACATTTGGTTTGTAATTAACTTGATTGAACAGAAATAATCATAATTTAGTTAATGTTCCAATGTCCAATTTTGGACTTTTTCATGCCTATTTAATGGATTTTTGAAGATTACTTGCCACACTTGTTAGTTACCGTAACCTAAGCTTTGTGTCTAGTCCTCTGGTTCTCAACCAGTGGGCCATGGCTTACTTTGGGCCACAGCGGCATTTTCAGGTGGGCCACAAACCTATTGAAAATAGCTAGCGGTATTGATGAATTAGATGAACTTTGATTGTAATAGAAACGAATATTGATGCTGTTTCTGCTGCTGAGTGGTAATTATCAGTTCAATTATTAAAGTAGAAGGGTCTATCTTTGCGAAAACAAATTTGTTATTTTTCTATTAGTTTTTTCTTTGCATGAGACAGTTTTTGGGCCAGAGAATATTTTGTGCAACAAAATTGGGCCACTAGAGAAAAAAGGCTGAGAACCACTAGACTAGACTATATTTTCAAGGAAGGGCGAAACAAGATGTGAAATAAAAATTAATATCATTTAAAGGTACACCACAATCTCTATTCTGGTTACCAAGCCATGACTGGTATGGGATTGGTTAGGGAGTCATTTGTTTTCTATGGCATGGACTTTGACAGATTTTAAACAACAATAGCGGAATCCTGTGCAAAATTTCCATAAGGTGCCAATCTCAGATGACCGATAACGATGGGTCCAAAATGGCGTACACTGTCTGAGCGTTGCCTTGGTGGAGTTTTATGTCCGATTTGACTTCTTCCAGCACACGCTCCCCAGAAGCAATCTAAACAATGTTCTTTTACGCAGACTGTATTCAGACTTCTGTGCCGCTGCTAGGCTGTTACCCATGGTTACTTTAACGGTTCTCGCTGGTGACCAGAGTCTCCCTTTTTGTAATGGATTAGGTTTTTTGACATAAAACTTTTTATTTAAATATTGTTCGACTTTTTTCTATTCCACCTGTATCAAAGTCAGACATTGGTTATGGGTGTCGCTGTTCGATAACCAGCATTAGTTTTTCACGTCTCCCTTCACTGTGAAATGCAAATTTCATGTTTCTTCCTATTTTTAGTTCGCATGAAGTGTATTTCCAGTTTGTTGAAAAAATAACTATTCACTGACTTAATCACTAAACAGTACTTATATAATAGACCTGATGAATCATAAATTGATTGTAGTTTGCATTACACCTTCACCCATTGCATTTAGACCAACCAACTTCAAGTCTCTCATCACCCGCACAGCAAACGCCGACTGAATCTGGTGCTCAAGCAAATACAGCTCATGACCCTGTATATAAAGGTGATCGCACATCATCAGGTATGTCATAAATAAAATTCAGCTGACTTACGCTTCCAGTGCCACAGATATATATGTCATTTTGTTCCTTTTATGCAACGTCGATGTTTCTAAGCACATGACAGGGTCATAAAATGATCAGTTGAAATAAAAAAATGATTCCCTGAAATGAACATACCGTATTTTGAGGACCATATGACACACCGGGTTATAGGGTTCATCGGGCTATAAGACGCAAAGGCTTCCAAGAAGTCACAAGTGGGACACAGGAAACAAGTGGGACACATGGCGCACGAGAGACACATGGGGCACATGGAACACATAGGACGCGTGGGACACGGCATTTTTGAGACACCCCTTTTCTAAAATGCAATTCAGCAAAGATTTGAAATGATACATATATGATTACAAATCATTATAAATAAATTATTTAAATCAGTCTCTTGATCTATGTTAATTAAAATATGGAAGATTGAAGTTTTATAATCAATTTCTCTTATCAACTTATAGTAAGATTGGAAATATATTATTACCATATTTTCTTTAGGAGTTCTCGAGAAAGTCTCTCGCAAAATACATAAAGGTAAATATTCGTTGTGTTGTATTTTATTCACATTTTGATATAATAATTCATAGATAATCACATTGATATAATAATCGACATCTACTTCCAAGTTATTCACCTTTAAAATGACCAAGTTTTGCAATAGTGGTCTGTTGCTACGAACCTTGTTGTAACTACACTCATAACTGGTGATAAGAGAGTGATACCTATTTTGGCAAACGCACTTCATTAGATTGTTAAGACAAATTTCATTAGGACAATTAATTGAAACAAAAATTCACAATATGACATACAATTGGATGCCCTACCACAACATGTAAAATGTAGCTACTCAATCGAGTAGGCTACTTATCGACACTTATCTACAAGATGTCTACAACTTATCGGTGCCGGCGATATGACTCACCGTGCTAAGCGTTAGGACTACGCTCGCCACAGCACCTCTGAGGTTCGAATCCCATGCGGGGATGGTTATGTGCGAGCGGATTACTGGACTCTTCACGTCGTAGGGTGGTTCACGTAACCGCTGGTCGGTTACGGCTTCCTCCACCATCACATGCTTCCGAAAAACAAATAACTAACTAATCCCATACCCGACATGGAATGGTAACCGAACGAGAGACCGTGGTTCGCCATATCATTAAGCCGTTTTATCGGCTTTCCTTTCCCCCGGGATAAATATGCAAATCCTATCCTATCCTAAGATGTATCCAGACAAACTCTCTTGCTACCATGAATAATGAGAAATGAAAAATAACAAATATTCAGGTCCGCGTGTAAAAAAGTTCATTGATTATTTCAACATGAGGACATGGAAAGAAACTGAAGTCAAAGTTACAGAAAGCTACAAAGAGCAAGATCTCAATGAGCCTGATTTCGAGGTCCATCCTAAATTAAAGAAAGTTCCAAACTTCTATAGAGGCCAAATGGCAGCAGAGTACAAAAAAGAAAAGGGATTTGCTGTAACGGAGGGATCTGAAGAACTTGGTCAGTTGATCACTATTAAAAAACTTAGCGAACAGCTTAGTGATGAAAGCAGCAATTACATTGCAATCACTGGTCAAGCTGGAAGTGGCAAAACGACAATTATGAAACGCGTGTCTCGAAGCGTTGTTGTTGCAAATGAATTGGTGAAGAAAGCTAGAAAAGCAAGAGGAACATTCAATCGATTGTTCCGCAAGAAAAAACGTCAATTTAGATTTGTTCATCACTTTGGTTTTAAAGATATGCCGGTTTCCAATGCTACAAGACCAGAAGAAGCACTGAGCCCCTGCGATTTGCTTTTTGGGAAGATTGCACCTGGGTTTAAAAATCTAGAGGTAGAAGAAGGATATGAATGGGTTATTGAGCATGATTACGAGTGTATTTTCTTTTTTGATGGTTTAGATCAAGCTATGTGGGATCTTCATGAAAACCATAACAAGATGAATTATTTTGACAAGTCAAGTACCGCTACAATTATGTACAATATTTTAACAAAAAATCTTTTCCCCAGAGCAAAAATTGTTATTTCATCACGTGAACACAAAATTGCATCCTTGCCTTTGGAATTACGGCCGCCATTCATAATCGCCCTCGCTGGTCTAGATCCTGAAGACATCAAAAAGTTATTCATCTCAGTTTTAGATGAGACAGGTGAAGAATCCTGGAATAAGTTAACAGTTCAATCCCCATCACTCATCCAGTTCTCGAGCGTACCATTATTCTTGCTTCTTAATGCGATAGTGCACAAGTTCAACCCTGCAAATCCACCCGATACGATGACAGATGTAATGATACAAATACTCCATATTTTTATGCGATCCGATCATGCTCAGGAAAGAGGAAACATAAAGAAAAATATTCATAAATTAATGGAAATGTCCTTCGAAGGCACAAAAGAAAAGCGAGTAATTTTTACTATCGATGATCTCAAAAAGGTAGGTCTTCATTCAGACGAGATCCGCGATCTTATCATAAAAGTGCCGGGACATACCATGCTAAGTCAACATCTCATGGAAGGCGACAATTTGATGTTCTTCAGTCACCAAATCCTTCAAGAAACTCTAGCCAGTCTATTCATCGCCAACATGGATCTTGCCACTTTCCAATCATTTATCACTGAAGAGATTCACAATGATCACTGGTCTGTTGTTCTGCGTCTCCTGTGTGGAATTATTTTCAATCAAGATATCAAAACTGAATTCCTGAAAGATCTTACAACTGGTAGGTATTCTCCCAAGTAGAGCTACAACATCATACAGTTAAATGTTAATTTAATTTATGGATTTTTCAACAGTGATCGACCGAGAAGAGAAGAAAGAATTACTTAGAGAAAGCCTCAAGAATAAATTGAGTCAATGTACGAGATCCTATCAAAAGTTGGAGTTGTTCGGTGCCTTGTATGAGGCCAATGATGCCGAACTCATTCAATCCCATGTGCGAGAAATCAACTTCGAAAATGAGTCTTTCAATGCTGCGGGAATGTACGCAATGTCATCGGTTATGCGACGTTGTGGTCACCTTGAGCAGTTTCATCTTGTTAAATGTGACCTCAATGCCGAGTTGATGAAATGCTTGGAGTTGAATTTGAAAGGGTCTGGAGTGAAGGCAAGAGTTCTGCAGTCTTTTCTAATATTGCAGCAAAATGAGAATATAACCCATTCTTATATATGCAAATATAAATGCATCAATTTTTTTTTGTAGTTATGTTATCAATAACATGCCCACCCCTATTATAAGCAAACCATTCAATGAAGTAATTTATTTATAATTAAATAAAACAAATCTTGTTTTATGGTGAAATTTATGTTTATGACTTAGTACGACCTCTTCTAATTGTATGCTAATTCCGCTGTTTCATCTATTCAGGTATCTAAGATAGATATCAGTGACAATCAAATGAATGAAGAAGCTTTCAAAAGTCTTGGTTCTGCTTTGGCAAGTATTGATGGAAATGAAATGGAACTCAAACTTCAAATGTGCGAACTCACCAAAGAGAAAATTGATGCACTGGGAAGGAATTCGGGATTAAAGGTTGGTCAGCCTCAAGAGACCATGTCTGGTGGGAAGAGCTATTTTTTTTCAAGTTATGTTTTTTCAGTGTAAATTCAACATTTGTTTACAATAATCATTGAAATTTCTTATGAAAGCTCCAATAACAGATATTATGTCAATACTTTTTAATATTATGCCTTTTCACTCCAAATAAAACTCAGTATATGCAACCACTGGTATGTCAGGAGATACTGTTTTTGGAACGAATCCTCCTGGTTTAACACTGGAGTTATGAAGGTATAAAACTGAGATATATAAACAAGTAAGTTAACGCTTTAACCACTATTTATCTTAAACATGCAAAATATTTTGGTCATCCAGTTCTACCGGGGAAAATTTAAAGATCAGATGCATCTCTGAGATTTTTGTTAATTTTTAAAATGCGAAGTAAGTTTTATCTTCCACTCATTGAAAAGTTTGGTGGGGTTTCACAAGGTAATTTTCAAAAATCGATATTGATCTCTCATCTATCTAACCCAGTGGTTCCCCCCTTTTTTTATATCGTGGCACACTATTGAGCACTTCAAATATTTGCAGCACACCCCAAAACATAAACAGTTTCCACCCATAAAGCCATTTTACTATAAAATAATAATAAAAAAACGAAGATCAGATAAAACAAATTCTATTCGTGTAAATATAACATAACCCTTATTTAATAACAGGTATAGATTGATAATGGTGAATATCAGTAGGACGATTATGCCGATCACACGCTACGGTTTTGCTCGCCCTTTCGCGTTCCACGGTACGCCCTTATCATTATCACAAGTATTCTGATTTTTGCAGGACCTAATTCTTTTTTGCTACAATTTGATATGTTCTTCCCATTGCCAAAATCATTCAATAGTGTTATTGTGGACATTTGCGAGAGAAATGAGAAAGGAAAACAAACCGTATTTCAATAGAAAAATTAATTATTATCGATAAAACACTAAGTTGGTTTGGAGTTGTTATAAACCGCTGTACGTATGTATATTTTCATGTCATGAATTTCGAACAAGGCCCGAGTATAAATTGATCACAATGATCATAGCATTTACTATGTTGAAAAGAACCATCGACTTGTCAAACCGCGGAAACTATTCGAAAAAGATAACGGTTTTCTACCACGCTTCCGTGAAGTAGTGCAATTTACTAAATTTACCAAAAATTTTATTAAGTTTCTTCACATCAGTGTTTGGACTACCAGGCGTTTTGCCAGATTACTGGCCGGATTACATGTTGTAAGGGAGGGCAAAATATAATATTTTTGTCAAATCGAATAATTCGAATATTTTTAAAGAATTTTTATTATATGTATAATATAGGCATTATGTGCCTGTTTTATTCTTGTATTAAATAGTAAATAAAAATCCTGTGAATTCATTGCACGAATCCGGCGAAGTCTTTTTGAGTTCACATAACGTAAAATCCAGTGACCTAAGAATATGCTCTAATATCAAATTGTTTGTAGTGCTTCTATAGCGGTAAAATTAAATACTTAATATAATAAGCAAAAATTTTTACTTGAAATTTATATAGCCAGGAATTCATACGTTGGGAAACACTCAATAATCTAACTTCATTCTTCTTCCAAACTTATTACCTAAATATAATTTATTTTACAATGCCCAAGCATGTTTCCACAGCATATCCAATTTTCATTTTGTCTAACATTATCTAAATCACAGATTCACACTCTCGATGTTCGAAACAACTCCGAGATCACATCCGATTTATTTCTTGCAATTGCTAAAGTTGCAACTCGAAGTGAAGTCAAGAATCTTCTGACAGATCCATGTGAAGTGTTACATCTAACTACAGATCAGCTGATGGAATTGAGCAAATGGAAAACTTGTGGAAAGGTTTGAGAATTTAGACTGTAAATTTATAAAAAGAATTTTTCATTTACCGAATTTTCTCAAGTATTTTTAAATTTGTGGAAAAAATGAATTATTTTGTTCAGCCCACTAAGATGTATTAATGCAAATGTAAACGTGTATGATCTAACCCAGTGGTTTGATCTCGTTCGCAAACGTTTTGTCAAGCGATACAAATCCTTCATGAAAATAAAATATAAATTCAGTAAAATCTCGTGACCTAAGATATGATTTAATATCAAATTGCAAGTAGCGCTTCTATAGCCGCAAAATAGAATACGTAATATGAAAGCAATAATTTTTCAGTGAAATTCTTTTAGCCAGGAATTACTTTAAAGCTAAGCAGGTTTACATCAGTAAATTTTAGAAATTATGGCTTCACTTGAGCATAATGGGAAGTGATGTTGAACTGTAATGGAACTTTTCATAAACATAGCTACAATCGTCAGTACAAGCAGCGCTATTAAATGTACAGCTTCATTAATCTGATCTCATGTAACCAATTGTAATATCATGCACTCAAGATAGATGCCGCCAAGTATGGGTCACAACTCATACGTTGGGAAACACTCGATATTCTGACCTCATTCTTATTCAAAACTTATTACATAACTATAAGGTATTTTACAATGTTCAAGTATGTTTGCATCAGCATATCCAATTTTATTTTGTCTAACATTATCTAAATCACACAGATTCACACTCTCGATGTTCGAAACAACTCCGAGATCACATCCGATTTATTTCTTGCAATTGCTAAAGTTGCAACTCGAAGTGAAGTCAAGAATCTTCTGACAGATCCATGTGAAGTGTTACATCTAACTACAGATCAGCTGATGGAATTGAGCAAATGGAAAACTTGTGGAAAGGTTTGAGATTTTAGACTGTAAATTTATAAAAAGAATTTTTCATTTACCGAATTTTCTCAAGTATTTTTAAATTTGTGGAAAAAATGGAATATTTTGTTCAGCCCACTAAGATGTATTAATGCAAATGTAAACGTGTATGATCTAACCCAGTGGTTTGATCTCGTTCACAAACGTTTTGTCAAGCGATACAAATCCTTCATGAAAATAAAATATAAATTCAGTAAAATCTCGTGACCTAAGATATGATTTAATATCAAATTGCAAGTAGCGCTTCTATAGCCGCAAAATAGAATACGTAATATGAAAGCAATAATTTTTCAGTGAAATTCTTTTAGCCAGGAATTACTTTAAAGCTAAGCTTGTTTACATCAGTAAATTTTAGAAATTGTGGCTTCACTTGAGCATAATGGGAAGTGATGTTGAACTGTAATGGAACTTTTCATAAACATAGCTACAATCGTCAGTGCAAGCAGCGCTATTATATGTACATCTTCATTAATCTGAGCTCATGAAACCAATTGTAATATCATGCACTCAAGATAGATGCCGCCAAGTATGGGTCACAACTCATACGTTGGGAAACACAGGATAATCCAACCTCAATCTTCTTCAAAACTTATTACATAACTATAAGTTATTTTATCGTGTTCAATTACGTTTGCCTCAGCCTATCCAATTTTATTTCTTCTAACATTATCTAAATCACACAGATTCACACTCTCGATGTTCGAAACAACTCAAAGATTACTTCCGATCTATTTCTTGCAATCGCTAAAGTTGCAACTCGAAGTGAAGTCGAGAATCTTCTGACAGATCCATGTGAAGAATTACATCTAAATTCAGAGCAGCTGATGGAATTGGGCAAATGGAAAACTTGTGGAAAGGTTTGAAAATTTATATTGTAATTTTTTTTCATGAGATGTTTGCCTTTTGTATTCAGCAAGTTTCATTGTGGCCTTTCGTCTCTAAATTCCAGTTAGTTTATAAAGTCATTGTGGAATTCTGATGACATAATTTTAAGATGGCGTTGTCAGGTGGGGTTCAGAAATGACATATGCAAAAAATATTAGGACACGTCCACTAGAAATACTTTGGTATTATGCTATACTATCTATTTCTATGTTTCAGAAAATACATTCCCTTTATTATACCTGTTTAATGCCTCCTCTGGGTGAAGGAATATAACACCTGATAAGATATATAACCTGGTAGTGTACTTTACCAATCCACCTCTCACTGATTTTTTATACGCTTTGTAATACTACATCCATAGCTGTTGTCAGTGTGAAAACGAAACACTATACAGATTCAAATATTTCAGTTCTATCATGCAAGAATCAATACAAAAATTAAAGCACGAAAACTGTCATAAGTGTTTAATGGCAATCATGAAAAAAATAATTATACACATAGGAAATTCATACGAGTGAGAGATTTTAAAATTGCGGTTCTTATATTTGCCGATCATGCTATGCGAAGAAATAAGTCTTGTAGTTGCTTATCTAGATTTAATATTTACCCTTTTCTTATACTTACATTGACTGTGCTTTGCTTTTAGTCTTTACCAATTCCCTATTTATGATATCGTGATTGGTTCACTTATCGCATTTATTTCAGTTGGATAAACTAGTTGTCAATGAAAACAAGGATCTTGGCACTGCTGGTTGGAGTGAAGTTGGATTAGTTGTTACACAATGTCAGGTGAAGGCATTGGAGGCTAGGTATTGCAATCTAACGGCAGAAGGAATGAAAGCATTTAAGGAAAACACTCGCAATGCAAAGGTAGAAAGCAAATCGTTTGGTTTTGTCTTATTGGAAAAGAAACTAAAAATGCATTTTAGTTGGATTGAGAGAGTAATACATATAGTCAAATATGGACCAATCAGTGCCATCATCAATGTTGGGATTTATCATTGGCCCATACTCGATCTGTTATCAACAATCACATTCTGAATTTTCCTCACTCAAACTGTATGATCGCACTGCAAAGAAAAATAGGCCAAATTTACTGTTATTTCTTGCCAAAAATTAGTTAGGTTCTCTTCGTGGTTGACTTTAACCACATTTTTTGGGGATTCACCCCCCAGATTTAGGGCTGGCATATTGGCTTTTTTAACGACAAAATTGACATTTTGGACTTTTTTCAAACACGTTTGGCGTCAGAATTTCCATTTGGCTTTTCGGCTTTTTCTTGGCTTTTTTTAAATCTATTGTAGTGTCTATTATTAAAATCATATGAAATAAAATTTGTGACATAATAGCCTATTGCTCAGTTACTTAACATTTGAATTTACCCGAGCTTTGATTTTCTTGTTTATTATTTTAAGTAACGCTTAACCATAAACAATCAGAAATAAGTCAACAATGACGTAACAATTATAGTTTCTTAAGCCGCTCAGACAGACGTTCAAGCAGGGTTGTAAACATTGCCTCTTTTTTATAGATTTGCATGTTACTTGATAGTTTTAAGTTTGGTTGCCTAACTATAGTTGTATAACTTAATGTCATTATGCCTTTCGAGGAGATTCAGTTTAGTTGCAGTAATCAAAATTTAGTCTCACGAACGATGTGATTAACTAAGCTAAAATTAGCTATGGGTAAACCACCTGTAAGCGCACATGTTTAGATATTTTTTTTTAATAAGAACGATGATTTCAAAATTTGAAAAAATAAAAAAAAATGTTAATAGTAAAGTATGTAACGCGATATAGGGAGAATTTTTTTAACGTATATTCTGAGTTTAAGTAAAAACATGTATGCAGTTATACCACATACTGAAGCGGCATCCTGTATTGTTTAATATTGAATCAATACAAAAATTAAAGCATGGAAAACTGTGATAAGTGCATAATGGCAATCATAGAAAATGTAATTATACACATAGGAAATTCATACAAGTGAGAGATTCATAAAGTGTGGTTCTTATATTTGCCCATCATTTTATGTAAAAAAAAATCCTGTAGTTGCTTATCTAGATCAAATATTTGACAATGCTTCTACTTACATTGACTGTGTCTTGCATTTAGTATTTAACGAATTTCCTCCTTACGATATTGAGATTGGTTCACTTATCGCTTTTATTTCAGTTGGATAAACTAGTTGTCAGTGGAAACAAGGTTCTTGGCACTGCTGGTTGGGGTGAAGTTGGATTAGTTGTTACACAATGTCAGGTGAAGGCATTAAAGGCTTGGTATTGCAATCTGACAGCAGGAGGATTGAAAGCATTCAAGGAAAACACTCGCAATGCAAGGGTACGAGCAAATTATTTTTTTTTTACTTATTTGGGACAAAAATAAAAATCCATTTAGGATGTGTTGAGAGAGTAATATCTAAAGTCAAGTATGGACCAAACAATGCCATCATCAATGTTGGCATTTATCATTGGCCCATACTCAATCTGTTATCAACAAACACATTCTGAATTTTCCTTACTTGAACTGTATAATCACACTGCAAAGAAAAATTTGCCAAATTTACTGTTATTCACGTCAAAAATTAGTTAGGTTTGTTTCGTGGTTGATTTCGATCACATTTTGTGAATTCACTCCCCAGATCAGGGTTGGCATATTTGCTTTTTTAACACCAAATATGATATTTTGAGCTTTTTTCAAACACGTTTGGCGTCAGAATTTCCGTTTGGCTTTTTGGCTTTTTTTTAAGTCTATTGTAGTGTCTATCATTAAAATCATATGAAATAAAATTTTGTGTGCAATAATAGCCTATTGCTTAGTTACTTAACATTTGGATTTCCCCGAGCATCGATTTTCTTGTTTATTATCTTAAGTAACGCTTAGCCATAAAAATCAGAAATAAGTCAACAATGACATAATAATTATAGTTTCTTCAGCTGCTCAGACAGATGTTCAAGCACGGTTGTAAACATTGCCTCGTTTTTATAGTTTTGCGTGTTACTTGATAGTTTTGCGTTCGGTTTCCTTAAATTAGTTGTATAACATAATTGTCATTATTCCTTTCGAGGATCTTCAGTTTAGTTGCAGTAATCAAAATTTAGTCTCACGAACGATGTGTTTAACTACACTAGAATTAGCTATGGGTAAACCACCTGTAAGCGCACATGTTTAGATTGTTTTTTTTAATAAAAACGATGTTTCAAAATTTGAAAAATAAAAAAAAATGTTAATAGTAAAGTATGTAACGCGATATAGGGAGAATTTTTTCAACGTATATTCTGAGTTTAAGTAGAAACAATGTATGTAGTTATATCACATACTGAAGCGGCATCCTGTATTGTTTAATATTGAATCAATACAAAAATTAAAGCATGGAAAACTGTGATAAGTGCATAATGGCAATCATAGAAAATGTAATTATACATATAGGAAATTCATACAAGTGAGAGATTCATAAAGTGTGGTTCTTATATTTGCCCATCATTTTATGTAAAGAAAAATCCCGTAGTTGCTTATCTAGATGAAATATTTGACAATGCTTCTACTTACATTGACTGTGTCTTGCATTTAGTCTTTAACGAATACCCTCCTTATGATATTGAGATTGGTTCACTTATCGCATTTATTTCAGTTGGATAAACTAGTTGTCAGTCACAACAGTAATCTTGGCACTGCTTGTTGGGGTGAAGTTGGATTAGTTGTTACACAATGTCAGGTGAAGGTGTTCAAGGCTTCGTATTGCAATCTGACAGCAGGAGGATTGAAAGCATTCAAGGAAAACACTCGCAATGCAAGGGTACGAAGCAAATTATTTGTTTTTGACTTATTTGGGACAAAAATATAAATGCATTTAGGATGGGTTGAGAGAGTAATATCTATAGTCAAATATGGACCAAACAATGCCATCATCAATGTTGGGATTTATCATTGGCCCATACTCAATCTGTTATCAACAAACACATTCTGAATTTTCCTTACTTGAACTGTATAATCACACTGCAAAGAAAAATTTGCCAAATTCACTGTTATTCACGTCCAAAATTAGTTAGGTTCGTTTCGTGGTTGACTTCGACCACATTTTGTGGATTCACCCCCCAGATCAGGGTTGGCATATTTGCTTTTTTAACACCAAATATGACATTTTGGCCTTTTTTCAAACACGTTTGGCGTCAGAATTTCCATTTGGCTTTTCGGCTTTTTCTTGGCTTTTTTTAAGTCTATTGTAGTGTCTATTATTAAAATCATATGAAATAAAATTTTGTGTGAAATAATAGCCTCTTGCTTAGTTACTTAACATTTGGATTTCCCCAAGCATCGATTTTCTTGTTTATTATCTTAAGTAACGCTTAGCCATAAAAATCAGAAATAAGTCAACAATGACATAACAATTATAGTTTCTTCAGCTGCTCAGACAGATGTTCAAGCACGGTTGTAAACATTGCCTCGTTTTCATAGTTTTGCGTGTTACTTGATAGTTCTAAGTCCGGTTTCCTAAAAATAGTTGTATAACTTAATTGTCATTATGCCTTTCGAGGGGCTTCAGTTTAGTTGCAGTAATCAGAATTTAGTCTCACGAACGATGTGTTTAACTACGCTAGAACTAGCTATGGGTAAGCCATCTGTAAGCGCACATGTTTGGATATTTTTTTGGATAAAAACGATGATTTCAAAATTTAAAAAATGAAAAAAATGTTAATAGTAAATTATGTTACGCGATATAGGGAGAATTTTTTCAACGCATATTCTGAGTTTAAGTAGAAACATGTATGTAGGTATATCACATACTGAAGCGGCATCCTGTATTGTTTAATATTGAATCAATTCAAAAATTCAAGCATGGAAAACTGTGATAAGTGTATAATGACAATCATAAAAAATGTAATTATACACATAGGAAATTCATACAAGTGAGAGTTTCATAAAGTGTGGTTTTTATATTTGCCCATCATTTTATGTAGAGAAAAACTCCCGTAGTTGCTTATCTAGATTTAATATTTAACCATTACTTATACTTACATTGACTGTGCCTTGCATTTAGTCTTTAACCAATTCCCTCCTTATGATATCGTGATTGGTTCACTTATCGCATTTATTTCAGTTGGATGAACTAGATGTCAGTGGAAACAAGGATCTTGGCACTGCAGGTTGGGGTGAAGTTGGATTAGTTGTTACACAATGTCAGGTGAAGGCATTGGTGGCTCAGTTTTGCAATCTGACAGCAGAAGGATTGAAAGCATTCAAGGAAAACACTCGCAATGCAAGGGTACGAAGCAAATTATTTGTTTTCGACTTATTTGGGACAAAAATAAAAACGCATTTAGGATGGGTTGAGAGAGTAATATCTATAGTCAAATATGGACCAAACAATGCCATCATCAATGTTGGGATTTATCATTGGCCCATACTCAATCTGTTATCAACAAACACATTCTGAATTTTCCTTACTTGAACTGTATAATCACACTGCAAAGAAAAATTTGCCAAATTTACTGTTATTCACGTCAAAAATTAGTTAGGTTCGTTTCGTGGTTGATTTCGATCACATTTTGTGAATTCACTCCCCAGATCAGGGTTGGCATATTTGTTTTTTTAACACCAAATATGACATTTTGGGCTATTTTCAAACACGTTTGGCGTCAGAGTTTCCGTTTGGCTTTTTTTAAGTCTATTGTAGTGTCTATTATTAAAATCATATGAAATAAAATTTTGTGTGAAATAATAGCCTATTGCTCAGTTACTTAATATTTGGATTTCCCCGAGCACCGATTTTCTTGTTTATTATCTTAAGTAACGCTTAGCCATAAATAATCAGAAATAAATCAACAATGACGTAACAATTATAGTTTCTTCAGCCGCTCAGACAGATGTCCAAGCACGATTGTAAACATTGCCTCGTTTTTATAGTTTTGCGTGTTACTTGATAGTTTTGCGTTCGGTTTCCTTAAATTAGTTGTATAACATAATTGTCATTATTCCTTTCGAGGATCTTCAGTTTAGTTGCAGTAATCAAAATTTAGTCTCACGAACGATGTGTTTAACTACACTAGAATTAGCTATGGGTAAACCACCTGTAAGCGCACATGTTTAGATTGTTTTTTTTAATAAAAACGATGATTTCAAAATTTGAAAAATAAAAAAAAATGTTAATAGTAAAGTATGTAACGCGATATAGGGAGAATTTTTTTAACGTATATTCTGAGTTTAAGTAGAAACATGTATGTAGTTATATCACATACTGAAGCGGCATCCTGTATTGTTTAATATTGAATCAATACAAAAATTAAAGCATGGAAAACTGTGATAAGTGCATAATGGCAATCATAGAAAATGTAATTATACACATAGGAAATTCATACAAGTGAGAGATTCATAAAGTGTGGTTCTTATATTTGCCCATCATTTTATGTAAAAAAAAATCCTGTAGTTGCTTATCTAGATCAAATATTTGACAATGCTTCTACTTACATTGACTGTGTCTTGCATTTAGTAATTACCAAATTCCCTTCTTTTCATATTGAGATTGGTTCACTTATCGCATTTATTTCAGTTGGATTTACTAGATATCAGTGGAAACGAGTTTCTTGGCACTGCTGGTTGGGGTGAAGTTGGATTAGTTGTTACACAATGTCAGGTGAAGACATTGGTGGCTCGGTTTTGCAATCTGACAGCAGAAGGAATGGAAGCATTAAAGGAAAACACTCGCAATGCAAAGGTAGGAAGCAAATCGTTTGGTTTTGTCTTATTGGAAAATAAAACAAAAATGCATTTTAGTTGTATTGAGAGAGTAATATATATAGTCAAATATAGACCAAACAGTGCCATCATCAATGTTGGGATTTATCATTGGCCCATACTCGATCTGTTATAAACAAACACATTCTGAATTTTCCTCACTCAAACTGTATGATAACACTGCAAAGAAAAATTTGCCAAATTAACTGTTATTCATGTCAAAAATTAGTTAGGTTCGTTTCGTGGTTGATTTCGATCACATTTTGTGAATTCACTCCCCAGATCAGGGTTGGCATATTTGCTTTTTTAACACCAAATATGATATTTTGAGCTTTTTTCAAACACGTTTGGCGTCAGAATTTCCGTTTGGCTTTTTGGCTTTTTTTAAGTCTATTGTAGACTATATTATTAAAATCATATGAAATAAAATTTTGTGTGCAATAATAGCCTATTGCTCAGTTACTTAATATTTGGATTTCCCCAAGCACCGATTTTCTTGTTTATTATCTCAAGTCACGCTCAACCATAAACAATCAGAAATAAGTCAACAATGACGTAACAATTATAGTTTCTTCAGCCGCTCAGACAGATATTCAAGCACGGTTGTAAACATTGCCTCGTTTTTATAGTTTTGCGTGTTACTTGATAGTTTTGAGTTCGGTTTCCTTAAATTAGTTGTATAAATTAATTGTCATTATTCCTTTCGAGGATCTTCAGTTTAGTTGCAGTAATCAAAATTTAGTCTCACGAACGATGTGTTTAACTACACTAGAATTAGCTATGGGTAAACCACCTGTAAGCGCACATGTTTAGATTGTTTTTTTTAATAAAAACGATGATTTCAAAATTTGAAAAATAAAAAAAAATGTTAATAGTAAAGTATGTAACGCGATATAGGGAGAATTTTTTTAACGTATATTCTGAGTTTAAGTAGAAACATGTATGTAGTTATACCACATACTGAAGCGGCATCCTGTATGGTTTAATATTGAATCAATACAAAAATTAAAGCATGGAAAACTGTGATAAGTGCATAATGGCAATCATAAGAAATGTAATTATACACATAGGAAATTCATACAAGTGAGAGATTCATAAAGTGTGGTTCTTATATTTGCCCATCATTTTATGTAAAGAAAAATCCTGTTGTTGCTTATCTAGATCAAATATTTGACAATGCTTCTACTTACATTGACTGTGTCTTGCATTTAGTCTTTAACGAATTCCCTGCTTATGATATCGTGATTGGTTCACTTATCGCATTTATTTCAGTTGGATAAACTAGATGTCCGTGGCAACAGGAACCTTCGCACTGCTGGTTGGGGTGAAGTTGGATTAGTTGTTACACAATGTCAGGTGAAGGCATTAGAGGCTCGGTATTGCAATCTGACAGCAGAAGGATTGGAAGCATTCAAGGAAAACACTCGCAATGCAAGGGTACGAAGGAAATTATTTGTTTTCGACCTATTTGGGACAAAAATAAAAACGCATTTAGGATGGGTTGAGAGAGTAATATCTATAGTCAAATATGGACCAAACAGAGCCATCATCAATGTTGGGATTTATCATTGGCCCATACTCAATCTGTTATCAACAAACACATTCTGAATTTTCACTGCAAAGAAAAATTTGCCAAATTTACTGTTATTCACGTCAAAAATTAGTTAGGTTCGTTTCGTGGTTGATTTCGATCACATTTTGTGAATTCACTCCCCAGATCAGGGTTGGCATATTTGCTTTTTTAACACCAAATATGATATTTTGAGCTCTTTTCAAACACGTTTGGCGTCAGAGTTTCCGTTTGGCTCTTTTAAATCTATTGTAGTGTCCATTATTGAAATCATTTGAAATAAAATTTTGTGTGAAATAATAGCCTATTGCTTAGTTACTTAACATTTGGATTTCCCCGAGCATCGATTTTCTTGTTCAATATCTTAAGTAACGCTTAGCCATAAACAATCAGAAATAAGTCTACAATGACGTAACAATTATAGTTTCTTCAGCCGCTCAGACAGATGATCAAGCAGGGTTGTAAACATTGCCTTGTTTTTATAGTTTTGCGTGTTACTTAATAGTTTCAAGTTCGGTTTCCTAAAAAAGTGGTATAACTTAATTGTCATTATGCCTATCGAAGAGCTTCAGTTTAGTTGCAGTAATCAAAATTTAGTCTCACGAACGATATGATTGACTAAGCTAGAATTATTTATGGGTAAACCACCTGTAAGCGCACATGTTTAAATTGTTTTTTTCAATAAAAACGATGATTTCAAAATTTAAAAAATAAAAAAAAATGTTAATAGTGAAGTATGTAACGCGATATAGGGAGAATTTTTTCAACGTATATTCTCAGTTTAAGTAGGAACATGTATGTAGTTATACCACATACTGAAGCGGCATCCTGTATTGTTTAATATTGAATCAATACAAAAATTAAAGCATGGAAAACTGTGATAAGTGTATAATGGCAATTATAAAAATGTAATTATACACATAGGAAATTCATACAAGGGAGAGATTAATAAAGTGTGTTTCTTATATTTGCCCATCATTTTATTCGAAGAAAAAATTCTGTAGTTGCATATCTATCCAATATTTAACAATGCTTCTACTACTGTGATAAAAGTGCATTCAAGTTGGATTTAGAGGGTCATATACAGGGTGGCCCAAAAGTAGGTATACAGTTATTAAAATTATTATACAGTAAAATACTAAATAGCTAGAAAACTAATGTAAAATTCACATTAGATTTATTGTGGTACTTTACAACTAACATAGATTGAACTGCGAGTAGCTTCAAAGCATATAAAATAGTTTATTAACTGTATACTTACTTTTGGGACACCACCTACTTTTGGGCCACCCTGTATATAGTCAAGCATGGACCAAACAGTACCATTGTGGATGACAGGATTTATCATTAGTCCATACTCGATATATTATAAACAAATACATCCTGAATTTTCCTCACACGAACTGTATGATCACACTGTAAAGAAAAATGGGCTAAATTTACTGTTATTTCACGTCAAAAATTAGTTAGATTCACTCCGTGGCTGATTTCGACCACATTTCGTTAATTCACTCAATATAGCCTTAGCAGTAGCAAAAGTACTTATTAGGAGTTACTTCAAAAATTTTCTGAACATAAAATCTTTTTTGCCATAATTGTGAATTGATTAAAAAGAACTTTATATCACTACTACGAGGAACTACTGATATGGCAATATCTGGATATTTTTCCAACATTTGCTATGATCAAAATAGTTTGATAGTGGTACCCAGATTTGTATTAGCAAGGTTGCAAGTAAACTTGAATTTCCATCAAATACGAAAAAGAAAAATTGAATTCAAGCGGTGTCGCATGATCATCTGGCAACATGATAGTTCTGCCTCATATCCCATGCTTACAGCAAAGTCAAATCTGATTCAGTCTAAATCTAATTATTCTTACTGAAGTCAATTTCAGATAATCCTCCAAAGTGGTTTTGGTTGATGCTGAAATAACCAGGGATTGAAACATCACACATTTGTGTAATATTGACACATTCATGAAATTCAAGCGAAACCATTATTAAATTTATGTTGTTACTTGGGATACATTAAATTCTCATATTCATTCAGAGTCTATGAGATTGTGCGCAATCACATGGCCCCGCTTTCTCGTCGGTTACCAGTCCTGATTAGGTATGGAATAATCAACCATTCACTGGTTCCAATTACATACTTGAATGACGGAAAAAATTGCCCTCTGATTATGTGAACTCCCAATCCTTTCATCAGGAAGTCAAGGAAATATTACAACTGTCTCTAAACTCTGATCCGTATAAGAAAAAATCTGCCCGTTCTGTTTAATAACAACATCAACCCATTTATTCAAAATTCCAGCATTGCCTACTCAGTAATGAGAACAAACTTTCAAAAACCTAATCAAAATCAACTTGTTTTGCAGATTGAATTCTTGGATCTGAGTGGGAACCAAGTAAGCAAATTCGGAAATGAAGGATTATTTACAATCAGTGAAATTGTTCTTCAATGTCAGGTTGAAACATTGCATATGCGGATATGCGGCTTCAATGAGGATCTGTTGAAAAGGTTCAAAGCATTGATTGCTGATACCGGGGTTGAGTTCGCAAGCAACTAGTTCAGAACAATGTGCCAATCAGGCATTGGAATCAGTGGGAACAATTCGAATCATTATGATAGCAAGGCTGATTTTGATTTTTAAGACTTTCTATACTAAATCCATATGAAAGTAAAGTTAATGAGCTGGTTTTATTATATGAAACCCAAAGCAACCAGAGGTGACAGCGAGGAATCCAGCAATACTCTCACATATAATAAGTGAGATTCGAACCTGCGAACAAGTGCAGGGTAATCAAAGGTGCGAAGTCAAGTAACGCTTAGGACAGGGGTCGGCAACCTTTTGTCGCTCGCGGGTCAAAATTAAGGTTGCAAGTCATTGGCGGGCCGCACATATTTTTAGAAAGTTGAAAAACCCAACGGATGGTACTTTTTATAATAAAAATCAAACAGCGATACATCTCTCGAATAGAATATAGATTTATTTCCTCATTGCATCTCATAAAAATCCATTTGAATATTTTCAGCGCCATTGAACCCTTTGCACTTAGCATCAAATTTTCTGCGTTTTGTTGCCATTTGCTTAATTATAATTAAATTATATGCTCATTAAACGAGTAATTGTGAATTAAATAATTGTTAGGTTATAATATAATTTCGTCTAAAGAATATATTCGTCAAAACGGATGTTTTGTTACTATAATTTAATGAAGCGTCGACAACTTACGGCCCGCGGAGCACTATAATCCGGCCCGCGGGCCGTAGGTTGCCGACCCCTGGCTTAGAACAATAAACCGTAAGCAACCAGAGGTGACAGTGAGGAATCAAGCAATATTCTCTCATGTAATTACCCTGGGATTCGAATCTGCGAAAAAGCGCAGGGTAATCAAAGGTGCGATGCCAAGTAACACTTGAGACAGCGGTTCCCAACTGGGGGCCCATGTCCCCTTAAGCAGTTAGAGGGGAGTCAGAATGCTAGGAGCTAAACTGATTTTCCTTTTTCTTTTACAATTAGAAAACTCCTCGTTTTCCCCCGTTTCATGTTTTCATTGTTGACCATGAAATGTCAATGAAATGAACCTAATGTGAGTCGAAATCTACCAATAAAAGTTTTGCTATAAATACTACTATAAAGACATACAGAGAGGGCCATGAGTTCAAAAACCTCCGGGAATGGGCCACGAGCCATGAAAGATGGGGAAGCACTGGCCTAGGACAATAAGTCATACCGCCGAGCGTAATGATACTTTCTCTATTTAACACATATGAGAGGGAAGATGTTGAGGTGGCTCAATGATATGATGAACCTCAAAGTCCATCTAGTTACCATTCCACATTATGTATGAAGGTGATCTAACAGTTCACATACTTCGAGAGCTTCCTTTTAGTCGTACTTTCTCTCTGTACAGTGTATTATTTACGTATATTTTTCTTGATTCGATTTATTGTTAGCTTCTCTTTATGTGTTACTTCATTAAGCCCTAGCACATCCCGGAATTGTTTTTTCGTAATAGGATGGAAACATGGATGATAATAATTATCAAGGTGGGCTGACTCTTGGCTTAACTTTCATATCTGTATTATTTGAATACTCATAATTTAAGTCATTTCTAGCGTCCTTGTACTCTTCTTTACTTACATTATTTCCCATTACATATACTTTTGTGTTGGCAAATAAGACAAAATAAATTGTATCTTACAGACTTAGGCTTTCTAAACCAGATATAAATCGAAGCGATGTGAAAGTAGTCGCCTACAGTCCTTTCATCAGTACTACCCCCCACTTACCGTTGTTGCTTGGACCTTGTTTTGGGACAAACTACATGGAAAATTTAATTTTGCCCGTAATATCCTTCATTCAAATATTCAAGTATAATTATTCTTGGATATTTTAGTTATTATTAACTATTATGTATATTTTAGATTTTCAGTTATATGAGTAAAGTTTCTTTTGTCATATTTCTGATAATGAATTTTCATTTATTTTCTGAAAAATCTCAATAATGTTTGATCAGTATAAGAGTGCAGTGATAACATATGCAGATTTATATTGCCCGACTTAAGTATAAAATTGGATTTTCATATTAACCTGGGGGAGAGGAAGTCAATAAGAAGGCTTAGTCATATGGTGAACCACGGCTTCACGTCCAGTTATCAGTCCATGTCGGATATGCAGGGTCAGATCATTTTTAGAGCCTTAAGCACCTACGATTTTGGTGTCCTATGTATGCAAGATAATAATAATGAAACTGGTGTTATGTGTTATCTGAAATTGAATTAGCAGTTTTAATATACTCGTTACTAATTGAGTGAGTTATTCGTTTCGGAGTATTATTTTTTTTTTTATCCATTCATTTGAGCCATGTGGGAATAATTTTCATTGTTTTAATGCTTTGTAATTGATAATGCAAATTATTCGGAAAGTGTGCACACCATGTTTAATCAATGTATATAAGATTCCATATAGTAGTTTTTGTGTAAACTTTTATTGCAATAAACCTAGAGTTGGAAACTTGCTTTGTATGAAGTTTATCATGTTGATTGTCTTGCTATATGATTAGCGTTTTCAGTTGAAAAAGGATTGGATTTACATATTTATCCTGAGTAGGAAAGCCAATAAGACAGCTTAATCATAGGCGAACCACGGCCTCTTGTTCGGTTACCAGTCTATGTCGGGTATGAGATAAGTTAACCAGATATTTGTATTCATATCCATAGTAGAGGAAGCCGTAATTGGCCAGCGGTTACGTGAACCAACCACCCTGTGAGGACGAGAAGTCCAACAACCCTTTCGCTTATAACCATGTTCGCATGGCATGCGAACCCATGCAAGAGTAATAATCAGAGGTGCGATGGCAAGCGTATTTCTAATGCTTAGCACGATGCACCACATAGCCGAGCTTTGGTACATCTTTGGTTTAATCTCTCCGTGGCCACCAATTTTTTCAAAGTAGGCTATTTTTAAATTGGATAGGTGATGCCGAACCATCCCTTCAATAATGATAGTTCCTTAGACATAGCAATATCTGCTCGTACAGAGAGAAGATGTGGCTAATTTGAAAAAAAAAAGAAGTTATAAGCCTGTCATAGCGAGGAGTCTGTACATGAAATAATTCATTCCCCATATGAATGAAATCTGCAATTCCTGACCCTTAGCAGACTTGTCACTACCAGGGCTCAGCGAGTAGGAAAAGATGACTCGCAGAAGGATTGTCGCCCACATGAAATTCTATTATCAGACACTCGAAATTCTCCACAGAGTCCCATTTAAACAATTAGAGTAGCTATGTCACGTGATTTATAAATTTATCTTTCATTTTCTTCGAAAGCAGTAGAGGGAGGTACCGGGTACCGAAACCATGGGTGAACAACCAGCCCTTGTTTGTTATTTAATGAACTGCTGTTGTCATGGTTACCAAGCCTGTCGCGTATGGAGTCGTTGACTTCCATTGTAACGAAATTCATCATATCTCCGGTTTTTATTAGTATTTTATGTTCGTTTTTCCCCTCGGTATATAAGTTAATGTTAGACCACCTCATGGGTGACGCTGCTCGATAACCATTACTGGTTTATCGCGTCTCTCTTCACACTGAAAGCAATAAATTACTCACTGACTGAGCTTGGTGCATTATAAAATGAAAGCCAAAATTATCGAGAAACCGAAATGAATTCTACAACAGATGGTTATGTTATATTTCTGTACACCTCATTTAGCCAAGAATCTCTCATTTCTAAAGTAGAATCTTGGATTATTTCATTTTCTATACCTTATCTGGTAGAAAGAGGGTTTTTAACTATTAAAACAGAGAAATCGCAGCAAACGAGGTAATATAACATTGTACCTGACCAAATTGTCTCCAGATATTAAAAAAAAACGTTGGAGATTTCAAGCTCGTCTGTCTGAGCTTAATTATATGGCGTACCACAACCTCTAAATCCGGTTACTAGGGCTGGGCATTTCGAATCGAACAGTAAATTATTCGAATCGGTTCAGAGCTAAATTTTGAATCGCCGCCATCTTGTTTTTTTCTTTTCGCCAATGGTCGAGGTGAATTCCCCAAGTTTTTTTTCATTGAAGTCATATTTTTTCAACGCATTTCTAACATATGACTATTTTCTGTAGTGAGTTATTGATAAAACGTGTTTTTTATTGTGTGTGATTCTTAAATCACAAGGTATTCGAAAATGCCCAGCTCTACCGGTTACCAGTCCATGTCGGGTATGGAAATATTTAACCAGTCACAACCAGCCTCGCGACAATGAGGAATTCAAAAATCCTCTCACGGACTGGTAACCACACAACTGGTATCGTATAATCGAATCAACTTATTGGCTTTCTTCTACTTGAATAAATATGATAAGCCAATCCCCCCCCCCCCCCCCCCCCTTCCTTAAAAGCTTAGCGAGGGGTACTCCCGAGAAGTATGTGAACCAAGATGATGTATACCGGAACATGGTATGTGTACCAGGTTAGGGTTAGGCCACAATTTTATTCCAATTTTCCTTATTTTAGTTCTATCACAAGTTTATGGACTAGCCAAGTGACTCCCGTAGTATTTGTATCTGAAATTATGGACTAACCCTAAACTGGAACACATATTGCGTTCCGGTGTCCGCAATATTGGTTCACTTACTTCGGGAATACCTTGCAAGGTTGTGGCCTACTCGGCGATGGTTCCTAGATATTCACCATTTAAAAGATAACTAATTATGCTTGGTCAACTTCATGATTTTGGATAAATTTGAAAAAATGCCACCGTTTAATTCTTAAAAACAGAATCGGCTAATTTTAATTATCTGGAGAGTGTTTGCCGAATATAAATAAATATTGAATAAATGAAATATGGATAAATAGCTCTGCTCATTTAACTGACCAACAATGGATCTGAGATATACTACATTTTTGCCGCTGAAGCCATAAAGAATTACGGTGGTACGTTGTGCGTAACTAAATACGCTTTGTGATTTATTCTATTCTGTCTGAAGAATCGTTACTTGCTAACACCCCAGACACACCCATCAGTTTATCCGCGACAAAAACGATTGTCGCGCGATATCACGTGTTCTATTCATGCGTCATTTGAATAATAAAAAAATTATGAAAAAAATTCGAAAAATCATTTGTATTTTTGAAGTACACGCCTGAAAATGTTATTGGTTTACACTTTGTGAGCCGATGACCTAGAGGTTTTGAAGCATTTACAATTATTACAAAATAACTAGTTGCCCTTTTTTCAGTGGCGGCTTAGACAAGGCCTTGTTTGTTTGAAAATCGAATCATAAAAAATTAAATCTAAAACTAAATCTTGGGCTCAACTCTAACCACTGTCATACTAGAATGACTGAAATCTTAGTTGTGTTGGAATTTTCAATCTTGTGCTTTTTCCATGACTTGGATGACTTAAACTGCCTTGAACATGCTGCAAGTTCGTGTGGGCTAGGTGGGCGTGTAGGTCTTGTGATTAGGGTGGGGTAGAGTTCAGTGTTGCCTCTAAGAAAATGCTGCAGCCTACTGAGAAAATGTTTGTTTTACCGAGAATGAATATTTTAATACAGAGTAGAGTCTACAGACGTAGCGAAATATCACAATACAGTAGTATAATATATAATCAGAATGTGAACAAAGTACAGATTTAGCTTGAAAATATGGAATGAGCATTCTAATTCGGCGTTAGAAAGTATAACGAGCCACGATATGAAAATGTAATGTTGCAAGTGCGCGAAAATGGGATTTTACTGCACAGATGGCTTAGTGCTACTGCGCAATTGCGAGGTCGCACCTCAGAGGGAACCTTGTGCCCGAGTAATCAGAATTGAATGACTTCGACTCAATTAACAGTCAGTGGGATTTGACTCAATAATGGACTCGACTTATGACCTCCAACAGGACCAACACTACACAATATCAAACATCCTGAAAAACAGAAAAACTGCAAAGGTTAGGTTATATAGATGAATATCTTAACAGTACAGTATTGAGAAAATATACTTCTATTATGACGCATTAATGAATAATTCTCACATGGTTTATACGAGGTCAAACCAATATTCTTCTTCAAATAACCATTTCTCGTCATTTTCGTCAGCGTGTTTTCAGCAACGATCAAAAACTAGAAAATTTTAGGTAGATTTGGGAGTTTATAAAAACTCGGGCCGGGAATTGTTTAGTAGAATTCCTTAAACCCGAAGCAAAACGTTGCCAGAAATTCAGAAGCGACCAAGTCTTGAGTCAATCAATGCGATAAGTCGGTTAATCGCGAAGAAGACCTAGTTACGGGGAAGTATTGGAATGTCAAGGGCTTTCAGAACGATATAGAAATATGGGCGCTCTAGAAGACTGTGTACCAATATGAAGGTAACTAATTTTGTTCGCCAATTTTAGATTGAGTTGTGTAAAGAGGCTGAAATCTATGGACAGGGGGTATATTTACTTGGCTAACAAAGACAGTCCCCGAACTCGTAAACTAAAATAAAGAAAATCGGAATAAAATTATTGCCTAACCCCAACCTGGTACAGACACGACGGTAACACCCAACTTTGATGTGGAGGCGTGACCTTCTCCTCGGACCTGCCTAAAAATGCATAGTAAGTTTACTTATAAGCACTCAAGAGTATCAGTGACTGCAAATTCGGTGTGTGCTACGAAAGTTCCGAATTATGGTGGGTCGTTACAGGCTTCCACTCAGGGTGAAATAGTGAAATGACGTAATTCTCAACCCCAGCAGTGAATGGGAAAGGGCATGAAGAGCGCGTATCATATTTCAGTTATCTGAGACAGAACAAAAAAAGAAAACTATTTTAACTGACATTTGTGTGTGAATATTGTTTGATATCTTGAAATTTCAAAGCCTAGGCATTACAATCGTATAATACTTAAATGCTGCGTTTCCATACCGAGATGGGAATTTTTCCAAGGATTTTTTATTGCTTTAGGGGTAACTTCACTTTATCTGTGTGAGTGGGTTGCCTGTAGTATTATTGTAATACTGTACGTAGGGTACTCCTGAAGTATGCGCACCAAGATGTCGCATAACCTGAACCCTAACCTGGTACACAACCTGAGATCAGGTTGTGCGCCATCTTGGTGCGCATACTTCAGGAGGTCCGTACGTAGACTATTCGAACTGCTCAAAAGCCAGGGTATGAGTTGCGCGTGTCATTATTAGATAGAGATCGATTTAAATGATAAATGAAAACAGTTTTTGGTAAACCGAAGTATGTGAACCAAGATGGCGGGCACCGGAACGTAGCATGTGTACCAGGTTAGGGTTAGGCCATAATTTTATTCAAATTTTCTTTATTTTAGTTCTATTACGAGTTCGGGGACTAGCTAAATGATTCCCGTAGTATCTGTACCTGAATTTATAGCCTAACCCTAATCTGGTACACATACCACTATCCGGTGTCTGCCATCTTGCTTCACAAAGGAATGAAGTTTCAAAGTAGACAAATTGAAAAATGTATTTTAAAATGGCTCGGAATGACTGCGTTAATTTTACCTCGCCTGTTACCATGTTTCCCCGAAAATAAGACCTAGCCTGAATTTCAAAAATGAAATTAATATAAGCCCTCCCCTTAAGATAACACCTTGTCGATAACGCGAAACTTTCCCCTCACATTTGAGTGACATATTTTTAGTTCAGCCCGAAATGCAATTTTGCAAAGTGTGTTGTATTTCTTATAATAATAAAAATGGGACCTCCTGATGTATGCGCACCAAGATGGCGCACAACCTGAACTCAGGTTGTGTACCGATTTAGGGTTCAGGTTATGCAACATCTTGGTGCGCATACCTCAGGAGTACCAAAAATGTCTAGAAAAAATAACAGGCATACAATATTTTGACCGCCTTTGATCGCGAAAGATTATAAGTAATAAAGTTATCGTGTCAGCGACATCACCCAAATACATTGCTCTTATTTACTTTTACATGGTGATGTATACCAATTCGATTTTCAGTATTGCGTTATTTCAGAGTCAGATACACAAATTTATTTATTGGTTTTACTATTTTCGAATAAAATATTATTAAGTTTAGCAATTCTAGAATGAGGACATGGGGTCGATATTGAAGGGGTTTGGAAGGGAAATGGTTACGAAGCTCTTGTCGCCACAAATCGCAACAGCAAATTTTTGGCAAATTTAAACCTAAATTTTCGTTTCCGAATGGTTTACGGTTTAAAGATAATTTCCTATGCCTCACGCTATCTTATACTAATTACAGTTCACGATCGGTCAAATCGAGAGGTAACTATAGGTCACATTAAATATCAACAATGGAGTAAAATTATTCCTCACGTGTTGGGGTTATTAGGGTTCATTTATGAAAGGGTATTCAGGGTCACATTGCGTGGAGTTTCCAATTTCACCTGTCACAATTGAAGCGTGAATTTGATATCAAATTATTATTATCACAAATCAAGTATGATACGAATGAAATTGCGGTCTAAATAGGTATATTATGTATGGCCATGGATGGTAATTTGGGGCAAAATCATGAATTTTTGATATTTAAATTCGCGGTTTTAAGTTCGCAATTGTCACGCCATTTTTTAGAAAGTATCTTACGATTTATGACGTAATAAAGTGTATTTAAATTGACAAAAATGTCGTTCGATGTCAAACTAGAAAGACTGTAGCAAGGGGGCAGGAGAAGGGGGGTCGCAATCTATGTAACCACAGTGGGTCTGCCATTTTACAGGCCATCGCTAATTTCAGAGGCATAATATTAAATTTACCTGATATAAATAGTAACTTTGTATAAAATTGTGTAAAATGACTTTACCGCGCGAAAGGCTCGCAAAGTAAGTTAGTTATCTTGATCGTGATTTTGTACCTCGATAAAATGTACGACGAATAAATTTCCAGTCGATATTTCTATTTCGGCTTGAAGGGCCGCGCAATTCATTCCGCCCCGCAAAAGCTAAGGCCGGCGGTGGAAGATGATAATTTCAAATTTTAAGATGGAGGTAACATTGGGTTGGTTGGACTAAGATGGCGTTTAGATAGGTTTTAGATAGAAGAGTCTGTGTTCGGAGTATACCAAGATTCCAGCAGTTAATTTTTATCGTCTTTCCCACATTTTTAAATCGACTTTCACATTCTCGGAAAAACAAGCGCCGCATGGTCTCATAGCGGACAGACCGCGATAACGCGACTGATAAGCAAGAATGCAAATTATATAATCAGCGATTTACTCCACCTGTATGCGTGTAGTAAGGAGTATAATACAGGGTGTCCTTGAAGTCCCTTTACAATTTCAATTTTGTTATTAGGTCAGTTCTCAATATATCGTAACCAGGTTTGTTGTTTCTTGATCAGTAATTGTTTAAGTATTTTTACTTCATTTAATACATCTGTGAAGGCCAAAACAATATATGATATCGATAAATTTCCCGTCGCAATTAAAAAAAAAAAATTGAATACTTTATGGACACCCTATATAACTAAGATAGGTAGTGTAGGAAAGATTCACTGGGAAGTTTGTAAAACAGGTAGAAGAAATGTAACATTGATGCCGTTGCGCAAGATGGCATGGGAACGAATATCCGATGTCATGTTGAAGTGTTCCCATATCTTAGAAGTGTTCACCCGGATTAAATTAACAATAATGTAAGGGTGCAGTAGCAAGAGTAAAGATAACTATTCTATGTGATTTAAGAGTCTTGCTGAGCACTAACACAAATATATTCCTGTGGGACTAACTACTTATTCTTCTTCTATGTTTTCGCGCGGTGGATTCGTATATGCATATAATACAAGGATGCTTTAGCAAGAGTAATGGTCGCTATTCTAAGTGATTCAAGAGTGTTGCACTAACACAAATCTATTTCTGCGGGACTAACTACTTATCTTCTGCTATGTTTTTGAGCTGGTGTGTCCGTATGCATATAATATTAATATGTTGTAGCACGAGTGAAGGCAACTATTCTAAACAATTTAAACGTCTTGATGCATACTAACACAAATGTATTTCTGTAGAGTCAACTAATTATTCTTTTTCTGCGGCTTTGGCTCTTGTGTATCCGTTAGCATATAATACAGGGATACTGCGGCAAGAATAAAAATTCTATGTCCATAAAATCAACTGCTGGAATTCTTGAATATCATCCGGACTCCGCTATTTTTCGTTATTTTTTGTTTTTCAGAATATTTAAATTAAACTATTTAACGAATTCAAAGATATGTCCAGACTGACAGAAGGGATCGTCATACTTCTACTGTTCACAATAGGTAAGGGTCTAAGTCTGACATGGGAAAACCCGTTGGTAATTTAATCTGACCTGCCTGATGTTGCCACAAAACCAAATTTTGAAGTTTTAGCTGAAAGATAGCTCAAGGAATTTGTTGAGATTGCGATTAAATTTAGTTTTGTCACTTTGGCTTTTGTAACACTGTAAATATTGTTCATTAAATGTTACTTTTTGAGCCACACTTACATGGCCCGTCAGTCTGGATGGCCAAAATTTTACCCTCGGTATAAAAAAAACGTTGCCCACCCCTGGTCTAAGTTGAATACGAAACAGGTACCAAGGAATGGCCAAAGCCGAGAAGTCTACTATTCTCTATACATGCAAAAATAAGGTGACCGTACATTTGAACCCACGTACATTTGGACCCATACATTTGCACCCGTATATCCGCGGGTTCAATTTATATGAAGGTGCTAAAATCCATGGGTTAGGGTTAGTATGGGTTCAATTATCCGTAAAAATTCCCATAGGTGCAATGGTATGCAGGTGCAATTGTCGGTGGTTCAAATTACGCGTTCAAATGTACGTGGGTTCAAATGTAATGGAACCAAAAATAATATTACTGAATATGAAATATATTGTAAATTGGTTCAACGAAATACACGTAAAAGTCGATGTATATTCAGTTTTGAGTATGGGGATGCAAGTTAAAATAAACTGTTAGTTGATCGAACCGCATTTTGTATAGTTTTTGGAAATTGAATGAAGCCTTTCTCAATAGTGGATCGGTTGTCAATGCGAAAAGTTTCAAGTCACGCATCGGTATTTACGGTGGCGTAATTTAGCAACATACATTTATACAATTTCTAGCTCTTGGCATTACATTGGTCGCCCATACCTTTGCTCAGTACTGGGCCACTTTACATCTGAGTGAGTGTCCGTTGCTTTGGTTCGAGATAAAATCCCTTACTTCTGAGTGAGTGCCTGTAATTTTGCTCAAAGATGAGTCTCTTTTACGTCTGAGTGAGGTACCTGACTTTACTCAGAGATGAGACTCATTCCTATTCGAGTGAGTGCCTGTAACTTCGCTCTGAGATGAGCCCTCTTTACTTCTGCGCGAGTGCCTGTAACTTTGCTCAGAGATGAGTCTCCTTTATCTGAGTTAGTGCCCATACTTTTGCTCAGACATGAATCTCCATTACATCCGAGTGCGCGCGCGTGGTCTTGATTTGAGCAAATTTCAATGAAAAAATAACTTCAACATTTCATTTCAGGAGCTGAATGTCAGAAAGTATGCTACGGCCCTCTCGGTTGCTTCACCAATGACGCACCTTTTACATCAGCTCTCTTGACTGAACCATTGCTGCCAGAGAATCGTGACGCAATCGACGTGACATATTCACTCTTCTTACGTCATCAGATACCTCGTGACGTCAGATCGATAAAAAATGCAGCGTTTTCATTGGCCAACGTCACTGGACCGCATAAATTATCCCGCGATACAAAGTTAAGCAGAAAATGGCGGCAGTTGCTAGTAACAACGAAGCAGACGAAAATTATAATACACGATTATGGCGACACAGGTACTGTATTGTTCTTGTATTAAATAAATCGTTTCCTTTCATTTCAAATTCTCACGAAAGATGGAAATGATCCTTGAAGACAGTTAGTCAAATTGAGAAAAGGGTTATCCTCCAATTCAAATTCTTACGAAAGATAGAATTGTCGCTCGAAGATTTTTAGTTAAATTTGTTAGTCCAATATCGTCGATATATCACCAAAATGGGCATTAAATATTTTTGCTACCCCTCCCTTCAACTCCAAACAAGGCTCTGTACAAGCAGCCATTGGTATTTACAGAGATAACATTTGAGGGAGTGGTTTACAACTTTCTAAAACACATCTTAACGAGAACATACAACATAATTATGGTACTCCTGTAGTATGTGAACCAAGATGGCGGACATAGGAACATAGTATGTGTACCAAGTTAGGATTAGGCGATAATTTCTGGTGCAAATACTACGGGAGTCACTTGGCTAGTCCCCGAACTCGCAATAGAACTAAAATAAGGAAAATCGGAATAAAATTATGGCCTAACCCTAACCTGGTACACATCTACGGGAGTAACATAATTACAGTGAGTCACTAAGTATGGCCAAACTTACTCAAATCACTGTCTAATACTCGTAATAGCTAGTAACTTGTGCAGTGAGACGGGAGCAGCCCATTGTCGCTTGACGGTAATCAGTGATTACAACACGATGAACAATAATGTAATAATGACAGAATATAAACAAGGGAGTCCAAGATGTATCACACTGCAACAGCCAGGAATAACTAAACTTAATTCTCTCGATCCAGCTTTATTTGGAAATTATGAATTTTGCACAAACAAGTCAAAAATTCATATTTTGATCGACAAGATTTAGAAGTCTGTTCTGTTTGGTGATTTTTATTGTACATGAAAATAATACACGTTGGTCAGTGTACTGAACTGTTCTTTTCATATGTTTTCTTGAGAAAAAAATTGATTTTCTCGCAATAAATTGACCAGTAATTTCAAATTTCGCTAAGAGGGTTGTCGCTTGTAGAGCTGTTGCTTTTATTCGGTATTTCACCTAAAACTTTTCTGTGTCAATTTAATTAATGGGAACACTTCTGAGATATGGGAACACTCCTATATGAAATCGGATTATCGTTTTCATAAATTTGATCATTGCCATCTTGTTTTCTTTACAGATTTAAACAAATGGGTGTTCGCCATGGTTGAACGATTTCTTCAGAGGGATGATTGTCACGTCATAATTGTTAATTGGAAATCACGTGATGGAATTGGCGGGTATTATCAAGCGGCCGCAAATATAAGGGTCGTCGGTGCAGAAGTCGCTCTTATGTTGAAAAATATCAAGGTACGTTAAAAAAGTAGGAATATTACTGGGATATAATAGTTAATCGGAGAACAGAGCATTGTCTTATTATTGCCCCACCACTAATTTTGTGGCCGTTTTCTATGTTCATTTAGTTCAGTCCATGCTTTTGAAAACAAATAACTGGCTAACTAATACGATACCAGACCTAGACGGGTGAGGGGGCCGTGGTTTGCCACATGATTAAGCAGTCTTATTGGCTTCCCTCGCCCCCGGGATAAATATTCAAATCCTATTAGTGAGTTGGATTAATTATACTTCGAACTCGAGACACCAAGGAAAATTTCGACGACAAAAGCATCAGCGTATGCAAGGTTTTCTCAATAGACTATTAGAAATATTTAGTAAAATTAATCTTTTGAGTCTCTGTCAAGAAAGCACTGAGACTTGACAGCAGTGGTTTTCAAACTTTTTAGGCCGCGCACCTCCTTTTTTAGAATTTGTCAACAAATCTTGCTCCGACCTCAAACATACCTAGCTAACAATAGGCTACAAATAACAGATACTAGTAGGTTGAACGTTTTTTTTATTCAGTAAACACGTTGAAAATACGTAGATGGTACGTAAATAATACAATGAATCTAAATATCCTAAATAACGCGGGTAAGATCAACTCTAACACACATTTTTATTTATAATTAGCTTCACGCGCTCAAAAAAAATGTTCACTCCCCACCCGTTCAGGAACCATCACGCTAGAGCTAAGAAAAAAGACTGCTTATAGAAAAGTTTCGAACTACCACTGGAGCCAAGAAATTTTGATTCCGATCTCAGATAGTTTAAATTTTGTCTACTGTTACTATCCTTGTAAAAACGCGCCAAACTCTCGACTATCTACAGGACTGGAAACCCGAATTTGAATTTGAATCCGTGCATTTGATTGGCCATGGGATTGGTGCGCACGCAGCATCTTACGTTGGTGATATCCTAAAAATTGATGATGTCAAATGTTTGACGAAACAATCACGTGAAGATGACGTCACAAGTGACGATGAAGACGCAGGATGGTGGCAACTACCAAGCTGGCTCAGAAGCTCGGAACCTACACAAACGGTATGTTTTTTTTTTGTTGGAAGGGGGAGGGAGCAACATCTTTTGTCCGGAACAAGGCTTTAGGCAAGCTCTCTCTTGAACGGGATGGTCATTGCTGACCAGCCATGGAACTCTTCACATAGCGACGCCATCGGTCCCGGTTCTATGACATTTTGACAACTGAGGCATGCTGGTGTCCGCTAGCTAGGAAAGCTAGGCACTGCTATACCGAGACCTACTGCTTCTTTTAAGAATTCATTCCGATATGTAAAACACTAATGAGATAAACGAAATTATCATTTCAGTCTTTGAAATAAACGGCTCTACGATAGAAAAAAATATTCGAACTAATAGAAAATATATTTTCCTAAAATATTAATGGAGGTTTTATGGTGTTTCGTCAACTTTTTCCACTCACAAACCTGAATCAGCAAGCGTTGCAGGTGTCGCTACCTGATGCCCTTTAAGGGAAGCCTCGCGACGTTTGTTATTTTCTTATTGTGCTACGTTAGATGGAAGTTTCCTCGACCTTTGACCCCTAAAGGTTCTCCCTATATTTCATCATGTTTCAATGTTGATTTTGAGAGTTGGCGCTAAAGAACTGGCTCACATATACAAAACTGTCATTTTTATTCAAAACAATAAACCACGTGCTGCTTATACGTACTGATAGTTAATTTTGGGCTGGCATATCGCAGCTTTTGTGGTATCAATCGTTGATGGTATAGCATAGCTATATATCAGTATTTTCTCATGATTTTCGAAACATAGAGGCATTTTTACTGCGAAAACTGCTCAATTAATTTGAATAGACATTTTTTTTGAAAATTGATAGAACGGATTTTTTTTGTTCGACGGTATTTGGAAATTGAATTTTTAGAACGGTTCATTTTAGAACAAGCCTTTACAAATAGTTCAAAATTCAATGTCGAGGTCCCTGAGTACTGCAGTTCCCGGGCCTCAGCCTCAGTGGCGTGTTAAACTCTTCTGCTGTCCGAAGCGAGATTTTGATAATGATGCCTATTATAGCTAGATTCAGAGGGTGAAACAAATTATAGATGTTGTTATACATCATCAAACTCACCCTTATATCGTGCTGCTTGGGCTGCCGTTTCATTTGCCATCCATCTAGACACCCCCGCTGCTTAGCCTACCTTTGCTAATGGTAAATGCGGCCTTGGGTACCGATGTAAATTGTTTTTCATTTTTGATAAATTCTTGCTTTGTAAACTTTCAGGAACCAAAACCCAAACCATGCGAAAAGCTTCCTCAACTTGGGCAAATCACAGGTCTGGACCCCGCTGGTTTATGGTTCGAAAGCGCTGAGTCTGGTGCAAGACTAGACTCTTCAGATGCCATTTTTGTTGACGTCATACATACTGACGTCATCAAGAAATTGACGTCATATTTTGGACACGGGATTGCAAGAACGTCAGGAGACGTGGATTTTTATCCAAATGGCGGGTATGATCAGCCTGGATGCACGGACGAACAGACGGGATTTGAAAATTTGGAATATCAAGGATCAGAAGGTATGTAGCGTTCCTACACCATTAATCCGGATAAGGGTCCGTACATGCAGCCACGGGTATGCCACCCTTTGGTGGGGTCTAGGGTTGGAGATTCCAGGTTCAAACTCCATTTCAATCCCAATTACTTACCAAATTTAAGCGTATGCAAGCTATACAAACAACCAATGATGTTGGACCGGTATCGTTACGTTTCGTCCCTTCCAACCTAATATACCTTGCAGTTGCATGAGACTGGAAATTCTCACTTGCCATGCCAACATATTTAGATAAGCAGTTTTTCTGGTAGTGACGTCGATGTTGGAATCCTATTTTCCTATTTCACGGAGTCGGTAGCCGGGTTTAGAGCCTAAATTTTGTAAACGACCAATCACTGACTCTTTGACAGTTCTCTCTCCTTCTCTCTATAAATATATATATATATAATTGATTTACCATGTGACAGAGATTTCAAATGAAACGAGAATAGTAATAATTTTAAGTGTACAGAGTACTGACGGAAGGGTTGCATGAACCCACTGACACACGCTAGAGCTAAGCGAAAGGAGTACTAATAGAATAGTTGCAATCTACCACTGAGTACTGACACGCTAAGAGCTTCCTGATAGTTCCTTATTGCGATTCGGATCTCAGTAGACATGGGCAAACTATTACTAGAAAATGCTAGTTAAAAACTAATTAAAATCTTTTAACAGGTCCACGAAAACCAATGGACTGTAACCATCTTCGTTCTATTGTTTATTATTTGTCAACAATGGATCCAACTTCTTGCCATATGACTTCGTTTCCGTGTTCGAGTTACCGCGAATTTCAAACCGGAAGCTGCACTTCGTGTGTCCACAATTTCGAACCCGAATCAGGAAGTTCGACGGGGTGGTTTTCATATTTGGGGTTCAGAAAAAGAAGGACTAGCGCCACTAAGTGTCTAGAACTGGGACCGGAAGCGCCATCTTTTTGGCGGGAACACAAAAGAAGAGCAAGAGAGGCGGGTAGTCATGTCACAAATATCAAAGCATTTTTGAAAACCAGGTCGACTGAACCATTTTGCTGTAAGTATCGCTAATTAAGTAAATAATTATGTATAATTAGTAGGAGGTAAAAAGTAACTAGGGCATGGTGGTCCAAAGTTGTCGGCTCCGGGGGTCACAAAATTATTTTTGCATTGGTCGCGGGCCACAATAGTGCCCAGATTGGGGTAAATAGTGCAATACAAAATACTTCTATTGTGCAAACACATTCTTTAATTCGCTAGTTGCCTTAGCTAGCCATAACACTAGTCCATTGAGTGACATTAGTGATGTAATAATATGTCAAAATATTTTTCTGGTTAATTTTATGACGAAACAACACCAATTGGGATTTTTTAAATACTCTGCGAATGCGACGCGGGTCTCAGATAATGGGGCCTGGGTTTGGACCACCCTGTACTAGGATTGTGCACTGAACGTTAAGTCCTTTCTCCTTGTTTACTTTCTACTTCGGATCCGAGTGTGTCAGTTGCCACAAGAATACTTAAGTCAGTCAGTCAGTCAGTCGTTTATTTTTCACCAAAATGAAACATACACGTAATGCGAACAAAAATTAGAGAAAACATAAATAAAGGCATTTCATGGTGAAGGGTGACGCGAAAAAACCAATGTTGGTTATCTAGCAGCGACAACCTTAAACGAGATAGTTTTGTGAAGATAATTAGGAATAGCATAATCTCTTTCCACGAAATAGCAAGTTTATTTATGAGCTTCCGTTAGATCATAGTTTAACTTCTTCAGACAAAACAAGATATGGCTTAATCAAACAACGGGGTACTTTTGCGTATTATTTTTGAATAATAACATTATAGGCTGTTTGATTCAATTATCAAATATGTATCTGAGTCGAATTAAAGATAGCATTCATTGTCAAACGAGTATTTTGCTAAAAAAACGTAAAATTTTTATGTTTTTTTTTTTCACCCAAAATAACCTATCATATTATTTTTCAGTGAAATACATCAAAATTGAGCTTGAACTATCAGAGCCTGTTTCGGAGGGAATTTTGTCGTTTCGCCTCGCTGATCACACCAATCATAAGACAGATATGATCCCAGTTGGCAGGTATGCACTAATTTATGCGACAACTTTATACATATGGATTTATTGAATTGGGAAATGCAGTACAAATAAGCCATATGTGAGATTTGTTATAATCTAGTAACTATCGTAGTTATTATATAGGATGCCCATAAAGTCCTAATTCTTTAAAATTTAAAAGAGAATTCATCAATATCATATATTGTTTTGGCCTTAACATATGTATTAAATAAAGTAAAAATACTTAAGCAATTACTGATTAAAAAGAACAAACCTGGTTAAGATATATTGAGAACTGACTTCATAACAAAATTGAAATTGAGCTTCATGGACACCCTGTAATTTTTTGTCACCCCGAACACGGTTTTACATAAGCAGTCACTGTTATGTATTAGGACATTCGCCGGTACGACATCGCCAACCTAATTTTATTTCACTCCCGGTGAGAGGGTGGAATTTGTACCCGAGACTTTATCCTTTGATGCGGGACATGATTAACTTCTATAGGTAGAGGCCATTGTTGTAAACTGCCTGTCTAGGGAAGTCGAGAGACGAAACGTTTCAGAAATACATTTGTGTTAGTGTGCAGTAGGGTTCTTGAATCGCGTAGTATGGATAACGTCAATGTTTTAACTAGACCAGTTCACTATACCAGTTGTTTTCAATCTCTCTACTTTTGAGGCCCATTTTCGTGGCACAAAAATTATGTGGCCCTTTAATTTCTCATGAAAGGGGAAAACTACAAAAAAAATATTTATTTTCAAACATAGCCATTTTCACTTTAATAGCTAGCCGTATTCTCTTCTCTTGTATTTCAGGCTAATTTTTTTGTGTGGCCCAGTTAGACGCTGAAGTTGGTTAGTTATATGGCTCAACGACAAAACATGCTTCACACTCTTGATCTAATACATTGTGACTCAAAATTTTTTTTGTGTTCAATATCTCCTTGTTCAAAGTGAGAAGAGCGAAAAACAATTTATCAATATTTCTATTTTTCATGATTAGGATAAGCAACTGGGGAAGTACGGACAATCCAACTTATCTTGTGACAGTGCCGAGTGAATTCGGGAGACTTCATGACGTCACTGTTCTATGGCAGATTGGCGCGGCATCAATGACGTCATGGTGGCCAAGTAGGTTTACTTTTTATCTGGTTGCAGCCCCGAATAAAGCATTAGACAAGCGATATTAAAACACACTTTTGATATTTGTTCATGAATTAGTCTCCTTCACTTCTGAGTGAGTGCCCGTAACTGTGCTCAGAGATGAGTCTCCTTTACCTCTGCGTGAGTGCCCGTAACTGTGCTCAGAGATGAGTCTTCTTTACTTCTGAGTGAGTGCCAGTAACTGTGCTCAGACATCAGTCCACTTTACATTTCAGTGAGTGCATGTTACCTTGCTTTGAGTAAATTCTTTTAAAACAATTTATGAGGCACAATGATCCCTCGACAGGTTTTAAATTTTTCTTTTCCAAATGAACTGCGAGAAAAACCGAATGTGAATCGTTTCACCGCTTTTTTTATTATAAAGGTTTCTAACGAATTCCCTTTCATTGTAAACGTGCTATTATCGGCAATACCGTGAACAGAGTATGAACGGTTAATTAGGAACACGATTTTGGTTTCTAATCTCGCGGTATAAGTACTCCTTCCGTTAACCACTAAACGGTTAGACGGTTATACTTTTGAAACAAATAACTGGTCAGTTTTTTTTTCATACCCGACTTTGAATGATAATCAGAAGGGCGTGGTTTGTCACATAACTGAACCGTCGTTTATGTTTGCCTTCAAAGTTGTAAATATAAAAATCCTTTTATTCTATCCTACATACACTTCATATTTTTCCCAGACATCGTGGGCCATTCCCCAAACAGAGCAGACAGCAGACGAGAACTCAGGCTTCCGCTACAAAATATTAAAGTATTAGAGATGCCGCTCAGCGAAATGTAAGTCATTTTTCACTCTGAAAATTTTTACAGATAAAACAGCGCTCCGGAAGTATTTGTACCAAGATAACGCACAACCTGAATCCTAATTTGGTACACATACTAGGTTCAGGTTGTGCGCCATCTTGGTAAGAATACTTCGGGAGCACCTTGAAAACGTTATAAAAACATATGGAGGTCGCATGTTTTACATTTGTTGGGAAGAGCGAGATTTTTCCGCCTCGACTTTGCCTGCCCAATTTATCACTCCAAGTAAATGGAATTTACAGCGCAGCTGTCGGCCTAATTAATATTTGGCGTTTAGGAGGCTTGTCATAATGATGTAGCTTACGTAGTGACATACATACATTTGCTGAATCCTTTGTTAGTGAGTGCAATACAAAAAAGGTCGCTCTGTAAGTATGTGCACCAAGATAATGCACAACCTTAACCCTAACCTGGTGCACAGACTATGTTCAGGTTGCGCGCCATCTTGGTACACATATTTCGGGAGCACCCAAAAAAGAACCCGTTCTTATATTTTGAAATACCTTTTTCCCAGGTATCTCTGCATTTTGTTTTTATATCAGAGTACCGAAATAAATGATTGATTGACATGCCCAAAATGATGTGCCTGAAATAATCTAAACTTGGAACTTCTAGTTATGTATTGTCAATAAGCTTCGATTAATTCATTAGAAGGTTAATTAAGACAATGCGGTAAACTGGACATCTATCCTCATGCAACGCCTATTAAATTTTTAAAATAACGTGGTTCGTTATATAACTGCGCCGACTCATCGGCTTTTCTCTCCCCAATTACTAATCCTATTCTAATTCCAGAACGAACTTCTGCTCGAGTCGTCGAAAACTTCGCTCCGGGAAAGAAGTTCGGTTTACTCAGTGTGGCACTGACGAATCCTCCTACCACGATTATGACGACACTGAAGGATGACGCCATCGAGCCTATGACGTCGACATGAAAAATTTCCTACATTTTTCTTCATATTTATTTATTTATAATAAGTGAACGTCGGTATCACTGACATCACAAATGTTATGACGCAAAAACGTCGTTGAACAATCAGTTCGAATGACGTAAAAGATTTATCTGTCTGTATACTACGTCAAACTTTGTTTCTATAGTTACCTAATCTTAGTGACGATTCTTAATTAAATGGCTTATTGAATCTCGCGATTCGATGACGTTATTGCCATCGTTTCTATGGCAACGTCACATAATTAACATTTTGCCATTGATGCCGTTTCTATGGCTACATTTCGTGACGTCACATGTAATAGAAAATTGTTATATATATATATATATATATTGTCAATTTTAGTAAATTTTGTGAATGTTCATATTTATTATTATATCCAACAATTGCAGTCACCAATAAAATATTCAGCTTGCAATTTTTATCAAATCATTGTCTATGAATGTGAAGGTTTTGTTGAAAAGGAGAGGGAGACTTAATTTTATACTATATATTTATCTCCGCTTTTGCACGCCGAATAGACCCATGATATTTAATAATATCTAATATGCTAGTGATATATGGAGGAATCGGAATCTTTTAAGTTCAGCATTACCTACCCCAGGATGGTCCAAACCCAGGCCCGTGTAACCATGTGTTTACGCAATAAAAGAGTTTGTTTTGTATTGTACTGTTTACCTATTCTTGGCGCTATTGTGGCCCGCGAACAATGCAAAAATAATTTTGTGGCCCGCGGAACTGGCAACCTTGGACCACCCTGACTTACCCAGTGAGTTCCCCAGCTATTCATTTTGGTTGGGCATGGGGGGGTCAAAGTTTAGAGGGTGGTAAATATTTTGCTATTGGCAATAAAACTATTTGTAACATATAAAAATGTATTATGTAAATTACAGATCGTCTGCACTGATAAATATTCTACTTCCTGTATATTCAAATACAATCATACCCAGATTGGGTATTAAAGTGCAGTATCACACCTCAAAATATGGGCAGGGGTGAAATTTTAGGGGGTGTAGGGAAATCACTGTGTCTACCCAATTAATCACACCCTAGGTGAGGTGAGGTCACAAGATTTGAGGCAGAGATGAGTGATTTACAAGGCCAACACAGTTGAGTCTAACGCTTTAATCGCTGGCCCATCGTCCGCAAGATACTGATACGAATAATATTGAAAACAGGGTACTCCCGAAGTACCTGAACCCAGATGGCGGACACTGGAACGTAGTATGTGTACCATGTTAGGCCATAATTTCAGGTACAAATACTACAGAAGTCACTTGGCTAGTCCCCGAACTCGTAATAGAACTAAGACAAGAAAAATTGGAATAAAATGATGGCCTAACCCTAACTTGGTACACATACTTCGTTCCAGTGTATCCTGTGAGATTTAACCAGATAGAACGCCTCGGACTGATAATCACGACTGCGCATTTTCGAATACTCGGTGATTCCATAATCGGATCAAATATTTTTCTTCATATCGAATCTCAAATACTTACATATATATATATATATATCAGAAATTGCATTGTGAAAATATGGCTTTAATAATAAAATTGAGGGAATCACCAATATTTGGTGGACAAAAAACAAGATAGCGGATTTAGAAATCTTCAGTCGAAACGTTTCAAATAATTCACTATTCTATTCGAAATACCCATCCCTACTGATGATTCACCATACAATTTAGGAGTCATATCGACTCTCTCGTCTCGAATAATGTAAAGTCAGGACACATAATTCTGTAAGGAATTATTATTTCCAATAGAACACATCTAATAAAATTGCACACATACGTTCAGGAGTATTTTGTAAGAAAAATAAAGCAAAATTTAATGTTGATATATATACTGATAACATCCATAGCCAAGCATTTCCACACCCAGGATAGATTAGTATAGGGTTGCCATACCGACCAGAAAATTCCGGACATGTCCGAATTTAGGGTTAAATTTTGCATCCAGGAAATATTTAAAAAATGCTTGAATGTCCGGAATCCGGAATTTTACTGCATCTGCAATCGTACTGTGCACACTGCTAATACAGAACATTGTTATTTCGTACCGTGCGCATATTTTTCACTACGAGGTCATGAAGATAGTCATGCACTGTCCGGAATTTTGCTTTTTGAAATATGGTGACCCTATTTTAGTAGGACCGGATGTTCATATTTATATGTTTGAGGGTGGATGAAATGATCATACTATTCATTTTTAACCTTGAATAACTGGGTGATGGTGAGATAGCTTAATGATGTGATAGGATCTTCATATTTATCCTGGGGGAGAGGATGATTTTCACATTTATTCTGAGTATTCGAAACTGGTATATTTGACCTTGAGACATAATATACGACCTTGACTCAGAGTTGAGTACTTTAAAATAAAAATGACATATGCTTTTTTGCCCCTCAATACTAGATTAGGATAAGTTATTATCCCCTCCTGTCTCTAAAACAGGCAGAGAATAGTGAGGCAATAACCTGAGCTAATCAGAAGTGGGGCAAAAATATGAAATGCACATAAAAAATTATTCAAATGTTACTTATCGATTCTTATTCCCTGAAACCTCTAGTCTGTGTAACTATCTTGATTAATAGAAAAACAAAACAAAATGATGGACAAGAAATATTTTGAGTCGGTACTCCCGTAGTGTATGTACCAGGTTAGGCCATAATTTTATTCCCGATTTTCTTTTTTTAGTTCTATTACAAGTTCGGGGACTGTCTGTTTTGGCCAAGTGAATATCCCCCTGCCCATAGGTTTCCTAGAACAAAATTAGTTACCTCCATATTGGTACACATACTTCTGGAGCGCCTGAGTCTGTTGTCTCTTAAAACTAAAATTCCAGAAAAATCTACAAAACCAAGCTTTGATGAACGCTTGAAAGTGTAAAAAATAGGATATGTACCAGAGTGTCAGTTTTTTAATTTGAAATATTTTATAAATTTTCAGAACAATACATACAGATGTATAGAATCCAGATTTCAACATGTTGACTTAATTTCACTGTTCCAAATACATTCTGAGAAAAAAATTTTCACATATAAAAATTGGAATACATTCTAAATTGAGGGCAAGTTCATGTGGAAAATTATAAAAATCACTTAATCTTCATGTTGATCACATCTAAAACAACATAAGTATGGAGCTCATTGTTTTCTCTGTGTTGTTTGATACCTGTTGAAATATTGTACATTTTCATCTGTTTGTCTGAAGGATTAAAATTCCTGATTTCCGATTAAAATATTCCAAATCAATAGTTCTTAATCTGTTTAGGCCGCATCCTCTTTTTAGAATTTGTCAAGTCTCGCGTCCCACCTCAGAAATAACAATGGCTAACAATAAGCTACCGGTACTAATAACAGATAGTAAGGCGAAAATATGTTTTACATGAAATATTCAAAAATAAGGCAGGCAAGATCAAATCTAACAATCACTTTCAATCACGTTTAGCTTCACGTTTCTAATTAGCTTCTACACCCCCTTAGTAGAATGCCCCCCACCGTTTGAAAACTGCGGTATAAATTACTTAAAAATTTACTATATCCAATATAATGATTTTTGAATGTATTCAGATATCTGATTCCTCTAAGACAATCCAAATTTCAATACTATATCTCTGTATGTATCTACATTTGCATCTTAAAGCCTTAATTAGGCAAAAGCGTGAGAACAACATTAAAAAAATTCATGAAAATAACGATAAAAATAAGTCTTTTCATAATTTTTCAACAATAAAAAAAAATTGAAATTTATAAACACAAAATTAGGGAAATAAAGATAACACGACAATTAGGCATTTTTTGCTAAATTTTCAAATAAAATCATGATAAGGTGTACGTATGGTAAGATTTTAAAAAAAGTTGTCATTATTGAACTGTTTACCTGCTGAAGAGCAGAATGCACTCCCCATATGAAGATTTTTGAGCTCGGCCGAGAATGAGAAAATTTAGTCAGAATATTTTGATTTGGAATTTGTTTCGCAAAAAAATATATTCAAAGTGGGACTTTATACATGACAAACATCATGTATCTTTTCAATTTCTGTGAGTACCGTTGCCATTGACTTGTAACCATTACTCAAAGTCTGTAAGTTAGTGTTTCCCAACCTTTTTTTCAATGTAATGCATATATATCTTTTGTTCACAAAATTAACTGTCTGACTAATAACAGCAGATGCTAAGTTTTTACGCTGTGATACTTCCCATATATATACAGTTACTATTGAGCAACACTTCAATACCATAAACTATAAAATTTACTAGAAAACAATAGTCATAACATTTAGATTTTTGTTGAAATAACGACCAAAAACTTTTTTCAGATGACCCAGTTTTGGGTCGCGACCCTTAGGTTGAGAAACCCTAAGTGACTCGTCATTGACTGATTGCAAGCAGCAAGACTCTACTTTCGACTCAAGACCAGGGCGTAGGACCACTGTGACATGACTTGTTCTGCAAATCAAAGTTTGGGGACTTCCAGCCAACAATTTCATAAAGACATCTTTTTAAAATACGACCATCTATAAAAACCATAGCCATGGATTTTTGCCATCTTTACAGCCCCGTGATAATTAGAAATTACATTTTTGTTCAAAGCAATTAGCACCTTAAAGTTTTTCTATACAAAAGTCATTGAGAAAAAAGCAATGAAGCATAACTGCAGAACTGCCGCCTCTGAATAAAATGAAAATATTCTGCCAATGTCCTTTGAATTGTATCACATTAAATATCTGTTTCTGATATTTAGAAATGTTTTTAGATGGGATAAAACATACATTAAAATTCAAATAGTTTTGTTGATGAGAATTGTACCAAAGTGAAGTAGACCCATTATCAGGCCGTTTGAAAAAGGCATCTTATATGGTATTCCCCCTCTCCCAAAAAAAAGTTACTGTTCATTACTGTTCACATAGTTTTGTGATGCAATTCTTTTTCCGATGTAACGCCGAACCCGAATGCAACAAGGTTTGTGATAATCATGGAGGGAATGAAAACTTGCAGAAAATCCCACGAAAAATATCCAGATTTCATCGCTGAAGTTTACGAATGCTCAAGTTCATTGGACGAGGTTTCGGGCGTCTGAATTGAGTATTTTAGGGGGTCGAGTTTCAGGGGTACTCGACCAATCCCATACCCAGTCTGCATTGTCTTTGTTTTCGACAAAAAGTTTCTGGAATAGTTTGTAAATTTGCCGGGTTTTTTGGTGACGCTTCCCCGCTCCTCCCTGGTGTGCTTTGGAGACTGTTGCACGGTGTATTTGGGGGTGAGGAGCCACTTTTACAGATCCAGCTAAAGAAGATTGCCCGCTTTCTCTTTGCGCTTCTCGAAGTAATTTTTCCATCTCGTTCTGGCTCAATCCTTGCATGCTGTTCAACGAGTCTAAATTGTATGTCACCCACGAGTCACCCATGCCAGATTCCTGGTTTTGGGAAGGTTTGTTTCTACCAGATGGATTTGTTGCTGTTGACATTATGGTATTAATTTCTAAATTAACAGTAAAAAATTAATTTTGATAAATATTGGCATTTCAATGTTCTGATGTTCATTCGCAACTTTGCTCAAAGTGAAATCTCATTTACTTAAGTGTCCTTGCTTTCAAACATAAATTACTGTATTAACTATTATGGTACCTGGTACTGTATCAGAATATTCGATACTCCACAACCAGCTTCAGTTTCATTTCCCCACTAAAATTGCGAAAATATGATTTTCTAATAATTCCAGAATTCTGAAATCTATGTACGATTAATATCAATATAACTGGCATAGAAAAAATATTCTTGCCTTACTCATCAATTAACAGAATTGCAGTAGGCTAATTATAGACACTTTCTCACTTCGGTGCCGTACCGGTACTTTATCATGATTCCCAAAATAAACTGGTCGTTTATAAAATTTGACTAAATGGATGATCGCGTCAAAAAATATTTAAAAACTTCATCATCAATCCAATGCAAACCACTGAACTAGCCTTGCTGGTAAAATTGCATTCATGAGCTCGAAAATCCCCACAAAAATATCGTACGGTTTTTTACAAAATTAGCAAAAATTATCCCAAGGTGCTAAAAATTGACAATTTACAAATCAATTTTACTTTCTGGTTCTCCTTAAAAGCCACAACAAGTTAAAAATAAAAAAAATCGCAACACAAAAACTTGTTTTCATCAAGCGATAAATATGACCGATAGTAACCCTCACTCACGCGACGAAACAAAAAACGACAAAAATAAACAAATGATGTCGAGCAACGTATAGTAGAGCTGCTCGGAGTCGTTTTCGCAAACGGTATTTTTCGCTTTGATTGTGAAAATCTCATCCATAGAGTAAGATAGAATTTTTAATCCGTACCGGTACAGGGGGAGAAAAAACCCGAAAATTGATTTGGTAATACAGGAAAATCTCAAATAAACTTATACTTATACAGGGAGAGAAAAAAAAACGAAAAATTGATTCGGTGATACAGGCGCGGCGGTGTGGCTCATCGTGCTAAGCGTTAGGAATACACTCGTCATCGGACCTCTAATTACTCTGCGTGGGTTCGCAGGTTCGAATCCCATGCGAGATGGTTATTTGCGAGAGGATTGCTAGACTCCTCGCCGCCGTAGAGTGGTTCACGTAACCGCTGGTCGGTTACGGCTTGAATATGAGCGATTTCAGTCCTACTGGTACATTATTGGACACGAAATGGACATAACGATCGTTTCAAAATTTTGTTGTTATTGGACACGTAGTGGACATAACGATCGTTTCAATATCATGTTGTTGTTCTTGTTCTTTGACACGTTTTTAAAAAGTCGCTTTTCTCTTCGAATACTGGACCAATTGCTTTGAAATTTTCAGTGGTTAAAGATTAATTTTTTCGCTAGAAGGCTATTACTTTAATTTATTTCAAAATTTTGCGTGAATTCTATGAAATTTGATATTTCGTCTAAAATTTTGCTGTATTATTTTTTATCCATGGGAACACGGATTTTAGTCAGTGTCATGACTGGCTGTACGTTTTGATTCTGCAAAATTCTTGCTACTGGAAATTCAGAACTTTTTTGAGGGTACCGGTAGCGTCAAAGGTACCGGTAAGGACTGATTCGCTCTGGTCTGACGTGTCCATATATTTGTGCGTAGCTCTCTTGTTGGTATTGTTATTTGTCTCCGTCTCCATTTTTAAAAAATCGCTTTTCTCTTCGAATACTGGACCAATTGCTTTGAAATTTCCAGTGGTTAAAGATAAAATTTTTTTCCAGAAAGCTATTACTTTTTTTTTTCGCTATGACGTCATCAAAATTATTGCCTTTGGGTGGCGCTACGTGTCCATATATTTAAGCATAGCTCTCTTGTTTATAATAGTTTAGTCATTGTTAAACTAATTTAAGGCCGGTTTTATAAATTTTTATCACTGATATGTTAGCATTTTTTAAATTTTTTTTCGTACCTTGGTGGGTCACGGATAAAAAGCGGTGGGTCACTTTGTGACCCGCGGGTCAGTGGTTCGCCATCCCTGCTATATAGCAAATCAGGACTCTGGTTACGATCTCCACCCTCCAGGTATGGGCTGAGAATGGTTGGGGCATAATTTTTATACTTATTTCGGAGAGAAACCCCTAAATCATATGGCAATATAGTGTTAATTACCAGCCCATGAGTCATGCTATGGAAACTATAAAAATTTAAATATTATATTTTTATACAAATAAATTTAAATATATAGATCAGGATATATTTAAGTGATAAAACACAAAACGAAAAGTAGTAGATAAAAGAGATATTTTTTTCGTTACGTTACGGATGCCAAAATTTGACTCCGGTATTCACTCAGATTACTAGAGCTTAGTCGCAGGCAAACTTAATTTCAAGGGACGCATTTTCACCAAACTACTCTGCTTTTGTTTGGTTTTAGTTAAAGAGAAAACGGTTCGAATATTAACCTGATGCCAACATTTAGCGAAGTGTTATATTCAGAAAAATTATGACAGAGGAATCGACTCTGACTTTCGATGATTTGCCTGATAACCTGTATCTCGAAATTTTTCAATATTTGCCTTCGAGCACGGACTTGCTGAATTTGCAAAGGTAAGATAGAAATTAGGTACATATTTAGGGTCTCGTGTAGTTTCGTACCTAACGTACTTCTAGTGGGCGTAGCATAACAATTTTTTGATGTGGTAATCCTAACCCCTATCTGACTACGCCATCCAAAAATTAAAACACTACGACATCACAATCATGTTATAGAGCTTGCCAAATATACGCACGATCGACCGAAATGGCATTGGCGCCGACAATAAGGACCTGACTGACGTTATCGATCTCTCTCCTATTGGAATCGTTGCGACGAGAAAACGAGAAAAATAACTGTTCGATTTCGGGTGCTCATTTGCACGTCTTGGATGGCAGTTCGTATAGTTTGAAGGGCTCTATTACGTCACTGTGACGTCATAATGACGTAATTTTTGGATGGTGTAGTCAGGGGGGGGTTAGGATTGATATGTGAAAAAATTGTCATGCTACGCCCACTAGAAGTATGTTAGGTACGAAACTCCATGAGACCCCATATTTATCCCGAGAGAGAGGAAAGGGAGATAATATGGCTTAACCGTGTGGTGAACTAATACTCTCGTCCGGCTGTCCGGTTACAGGGTTAACAGTACAGACAGTATGGGATTGAGTCGATTCAATCAATCATTTATTTTGGTCTTCTGACATAAACAGTACAAAAAGTAAACAGACAAACAAAATGCAGAGATACCTGGGAGACGGGCATAATCTAAAAAAAATTAAAAAGCGTACAATGTACGTGCCTTCCCACCAAAGAAGAATAAACAAAACACAGAAAAATGCGATTTACAATCGGGCAAAAAACAGCAAATTGAAGCAAATAATTGAATGCAATAAACTTCTATTTTTTAAATTGAAATGTGAGACGTGTATGTGTAACACAACACTGCTTTTCCTACAGAAACATGGAACAAAAAATACTCCCTGACGCAAAACGGTGATACTTTAGGCCTAGTTCAATTTCATTGCAAAAACTACACTGTGACAAGAAATTGTTACATAAAAAACAAGCTTGGTAAACAGATTGAATGTTCTATAGCAGTCTATGCACAAATCATGGATTGGGGTATCGGGTTCTGTTGTTGTTTTCAATTATTTCAATTTAAAATCATTGTATCCGTTCCAATGCTTCCAACATCAATATGGAATTTCCACAAACGACCACCATTCCAACAGGTGCAGTGGTCCCATCTTCAATTTTAAAGACACGATTTACCTTTTTCAAAGACTTGGACTAGTTCATTCATCAGGATAGTCAAACTCAGCCTTGACTAATCGTCGAGGAAACCTGACCAGAGCATTAGAGACTTCTAATATATAATATATATATACAATTTTACACATGCCCTCTGAACTTAATCTGATGTAAACTGTTGTATAGTAGAAAAAATTATTTTTATCAGCCGACTCATTTTATGTCTTTATTTTATAGTTTCATATTGTGATAATTCATACTGACAGTTTGACCACAGCGTAAATAAAATGGTCAGGAGCCTAGGTGACCTGCAAAGGTCTTGCATACTGACCATCATGATTCAATGTTTGAATATTCACTGCACTGTAGTTTAATTGAAATCTGTACTATTGTCCTTTTTTGACATTGTTTAGTGCAAATAAAATCTCTCTCTCTCTCTCTGCTCCACACTGACCAGATTCTTTTTTGCAGGGTCAGCAAAAGGTGGCAACGTGTAGCATGCGATTATTGGTTATGGAAGAAGGTTAAAATAACCCCTCATCCAATTTTAAAAACCACGCTTGCGAAAATAGTCCGTCGATATTTCACAGAGTCTACAACATCACTCGATGTTTGTGGTGGTGTTTGGAGGCGGCGACGGCATATGAGCAGCACGGTTTCGTTATCCAATAATGTTTTGTCTTTGATTGGGAAAATGTCACCAAAGCTACGAGAATTTATGGTTAGTTTTCTCATTTGTTCTGTTGGCTACTGAATCCATATAAAAATTTGCTGACGCTCTCGCTAAGAAATAATGGAAACTCATCTCTGAGCAAAGTTACAGGCACTCGCTAAGAAATAATGCAGACTCATCTCAGAGCAAAATTATCGGCACTCACTCAAAAATAAAGGAGACTCATTTCCAAGCAAATTCATGGGCATTCACTCAGAAGTAAAGGACACTCATCTCAGAGCAAAGTTATCGGCACTCACTCAGAAATAAAGGAGACTCATCTCGGAGCAAAGTTATCGGCACTCACTCAGAAGTAGAAAAGACTATTTAATCTCTGAGCAAAGTTACATGCACTCACTCGTAAGTGGAGGAGAATCCAACTCTCAGCAAAGTCAGAGGCGACCACTAAAGTGCCGAGAGTTACTGAAACTATATAGAATTATGGAGGTCCTTTAGGAGCTAGTATATACCGATGGGCGCAGGACCTGAAACCAGGCGGGGTGGTTTTGGGGGTCGAAACCCCCCCTTTTAAAATGGAAAAAAAATTAAAAGCATCTTACTATATCATACATAGCATCAAAACACACTTATTCCGGTGTTCGGCTGGACCTGAGGTTCAACTCAACTTGGCAAACAGAATTTCAATGCTTTTTTTTTACATTTCAAAAGAGGGGGGGAGACCCCATAACCGCGGGATAATCAGGGATTACCATGGTTAATTAAATTTAAATCATCTCAGATCGAGGAGGACAACTTAAAGGATATTGATTTGAGTCTACTGCCCAGTAGTGTCCAACGATTGTCTTTCACAAATTGTGAGATTCCGACAGATTGTCTCGTCAACGTTGATAAAAATTTTCCGGAGTTACGCTCGTTACTCTTTCGAAGATGCCCGATATTACAAGATGGACATCTTGCTTTATTTGGGAAATTGGAAAATTTAGAAAGGTCAGTCACAGATTATCACATATATTCAGATTTGGGTTCTCCATAGGGTTAGGGTTAGGTCATAATTTCATTCCAATTTTCCTTATTTTACTGCTATTACGAGTTCGGGGACTAGCCAAGTGACTCTCGTAGTTTTTGTACATGAAAATATGGCCTAACCCTAACCTGGTATACATACTATGTTCCGGTGTTGCCATCTTTGTTCACATACTTCTGGAGTATCCAGCTTGGTGTAATCTATGCATCAATTATAAAACAGACTTGAAATTCTAATTTGAGGCAGACAAAAATATGGATTTTGCATTTTTTTCAAATATATCTGCCATCACAGATTGGTTTTTCATGGTATTTATCCTGGAGTGATAAAAGGCTTCAAGCATATGGCGAACGACTTCCTCAAGTTGAGTCAAAGATTAGTTGGCCAGTTATTTGTTTCATCTGCATGAACTTGATGACAAAGAAGACTGTGACTAGGGCTGGGAACGATTAACCGGTTAACCGATTTTAGATGATGAACGGTTACGATTTATTTTAACCGTTAACTGACATCTCCAGTACAAATCATCTTTATAATGTACAATTTCTTTAAAAATGATTAATTTATCGCAAATTTATCTCCTGTGGCATTTAATTCATGAGAATATCACTGATTGTATTGGTGAGCACCAAAAAATGTAGAAAATTATTGAAGTACCAATATCACTGACTATGGAAACTTCACAATGATAAATTCAGAATCAGATTTCGGTCAGAATATATTGTTCACGATTTTATTGCAAAATCATCTATTCAATGTCATCCAACAAGTGTGCAGTTGATGCTGTTTTTCTTTATGATATCTCAGAGTAGAATTTGCTGATCGAACACTTAAAATTTGTCACATAAATGACATTTAATAACAGAATAGGGTTTCACCAATATACTTCCATATGTCCGAAGCACGCTGCATATCTCTTTCAGCAGAGCGATCATGAAACTCTCCATTCGTGAATGATTTTGAGCAATACCGGGATATTATCACTCGAAATTGGTTTGTAACTTATGACGTCAAACGTCACGCTGCGCTTAACCGGTTAATTTTACCCGGTTAACGGTTTAAAGTTTTCTCCTTGAAATTCCCAGCCCTAACTGTGACTGAAACAGTGGGTACGTGATCCAACTTACGACAGCGAGGAGTCGAGTAATCCACTCGGTACATAATTATCACCCACAGGATTCACCTGCAGGGCAATCAGAGGTGCTCAGCCATCTGGGAAATGCTATTTGCCAGAAATGCAATAAAGATACAGTCAACCTAATCCCATACCCGAATCGGAATGGTAACCGGACGAGAGGCCGTGGTTCGCCATATGGATAAGCCGTCTTATCGGCTTTCCTCTCCCCCGGGATAAATATGTAAATCTTATTCATATCCTAACACTTACTGGTATTTCATATTAATTTAATTTAGTAAGTGAAGCAATAGCCTTTCATACCTCTAAAATATAGAGTTGGCTAACTACAGCATAGAAATGAAAAAAAATATCGAGTAGGTAGGTGGGGTAAATGGAGTAGGTCCAACTAAAATAGTTGAGCGATGCTCAATGTGTACAACCATCACCTAACAAAATTTGAAAATGTTTTGTCTTTTTATTCTCAGATTGGAGTGTTATGGGTGTTATCGCATAGACAGTTCGGCAATCCGAGTTATTGCTGAAAATTTTTCGAATTTGAAAAACTCTTGCTCTGATTGGTTCCCCATTTCTCGGGACAGGGATTGTGCAATAATCGCGGAAAAATTACCGAAATTGACGACAATTGAAATCGAAGAATGGATAGATATTACGATGAACGGTGTCACAACTTTACGAAAAAATCTCCGGAACTTAAAATTTTTGAGCATCAAGTGTAGTAGTATAAATCAAGGAGAAATAGTTATCGAGGGGTCAAGGGTTCATGTGTGAAAGGTCAAGTTGAATGGAAGTATCAAGGAAGCATTACCCAGGGAAAAATATTCATTGAGAGGTCAAGAGTTCATATGTGAAAGGTCAAGTTGAATGAAAATTATGAATTCCATTATTGTACCCTGTGTTTTTTTTATTTTTTCACATATTTGCTCAGAACAAGCCACGGTACTCCCGTAGTATGTGCACCAAGATGGCGCATAACCTGAACATAGTATGTGTACTGGGTTAAGGTTCAGGTTGTGTGTCATATTGGTGCACAAAATTTAGAAGCGCCCAAGCCACTGATGCATAAAGTGGCTTCTATACAGGATGCTCAAATAAATTCGCTCGCTTTTATTGTGATTACAATTAAAAATTTATTTTCCTTTGTTTATTATGCTTGTAGTTCTCATTTGCATTCAATAAAATTTATTTAAACTTACAATTCGCCGGATGAGAACAGAAGGGGCCCAAGTCATATTTTTGGAAAATTGACTTTTTTCAATATTTTGGGGTTTTGAGCCATGCTCTACAAGGTGGTATTCTTGAAATCCTGAATTTCTCAATAAAAAATTTAGCTTGACTAAGGACTATAATATTTTGTAGAAGTTAAAAACAGAATGGCCCTAAGTCCAGCTAAAATTTTTATTATTGAGAAATTCAGGATTTCAAGACCATCTTGTAGAGCATGGCTCAAAACCCCAAAATATTGAAAAAGATAGTCCTAAGTTCCAATATGATGGGCATGAACATCAGAAATGAAATGTTTGAAACTTACATCCCTAAAAATTTGTTCAGTGCAACTTAGGCCTAAGTAACCTTGTTTTACCTTGCATCCCATTCAAAAAATTTAAGAAGTTGTTGAGAACAGAATGGGCCAAAATCCTTTATGGGGGTAAAAAAGCAGGATGGAATTGAAGCTGAAGTGCCAAAAAATATTGATTACAAAGATATTCACATCCACAATAAAATAACCAGAGCTCGGGTCTTTACTAAGTGTGAATATCTAGAAATCCAAAAATAAAAAAATTCCAAATTGTTTTTTGCGTTTTCTCAAAACTCAAAATTGTGAATTAGGCCTGTTTCTGTTCTCATCCAGCGAATTGGTATCACTATGAAATCAGGGAAAATTTTCATTTGTTAGCACAACAAAATAGGACGAGATTTTGATCCTCTGTTAAACTATCATTTCTGTTTTTCTATCATATCTCTTTATGCGTCATACCATGTTTACATTCAATCTATTAACTATATGATAAAGTATTTTACATTTTTTTCGATTATAATAGTCTCTTGGATTGTCGTCTCTCGTTGAACATGAACTCGCACAAATGTTTTAGGAATATACTTTGGCAGTGTTTCAAATCCCTAAGTCTCTATATTGTTATATGTATATTGTTTGAACAAGTTTGCTTTGAAATCAGAGTATATTATCATTTATGCATTTTGTTCAAATTGTGATCAAATACACACTGGTATAATATATTAATATGAATAATTGTGTTTCACTAATGTTCCGTGAAAGACTAAGTGCTTTGCGTCAAATTGTTTTCCCCCATATTCATTCCCAACTATACACAAATGTCCGATAGATTCACACTTTATATCATTATATCTAAATGAATGTAAAACAAACCATTGCTTGAACGACTCTGTAGTTGGAACAGTCTGTGTACTATTGCATAACTCGTTTGCTTCTTACTGGATGTGCATGTTTTGCTATGAATAAGTAGGCTTAACATACTTCCCTGTTTAGTGGAACCGTCCCGATTTTAATACTGTGTACTGGTCATGCTGCATTGGCAGTCATAAACAGTTTTTTTCTGCTAATGGGGGGTGTATATTTATTCACTGTTTTTTCAACTAGTTGAATTAACGCAAGTTTCTTCAATTTGCACTGTCCCACTTTTTTGTTCGATATGGTAAAGCCTTGTAGTATTTCGGTTATATGAAGTCTATTAGTGTTCCACTTCAACTGCATTATTATTATTATGAAAAACAATCTTGAAATTTGTGTATTGAACTCGTGTGTTTGCTTGATTTAAATCGGCTTTTTTTTATTAAGGGCTTAGTTTAGTTTCAGGCTCGACCATTTATGGCGCATCCATGCTAGCTTAACACTATCGCAGGTTTGGATCATGTGGCGCGATAATTTTCTGCAAGAGGATTGTTGAACTTCCTTGTTGCCACAGAGTGGTTCAAACCACTGCATGTCCATCTGGAACAAATAACTGGCTAACTAATCCCAGACAAGGACTGGTGTAACCATGAGAGGCGAGACCCGTGGTTTGCCATATGATTAAGCTGTCTTTTACCACCCCTGGGATAAAATGTAAATCCATCCCTATGCAGAATTCATGGTGCTCCCGAAGTATGTGTACCAAGATGACGTACTTGAAAACTAACATGGTACATATACTATGTTCAGGTTGTGCGCCTTCTTGGTACACATACTTCGGGAGCACAGAGTTCATAGCCCTGTTTCTTTTTGCTCTAAGAAATACGCTTGCAATCTTGTTACCCACGATAACGATAACCAAAGCTGGACTGGTAAATGTACAGATAATCTCCTCAATATGATAGTCTTATCAATTTGTCCTCCGTGGATAAATATGCAATTCCCCTCTATCAGCGTCAGTTTAGAATAGAGACAAGGACTATGTATTGACAACATTCACCTCAGCTCAATACTAATTTTTCCCCTGCTGGATAAACATGAAAATACTACCTCTATCTATGCAAATACAAACAGAAAGATTGACGTCACGGATTGTATTTCTGATATTTTAAAATGTTAAAATCAAGTTGTTTGAGAAAAAAATTAGTCAAAACATTAAGATTTGCTAAAATAACATACCAAAATAAAATAAGGAAAAAATCGCATTTTCACATTCAAATGACAAAACTAAAATATATCCTCAACCATAAAATAAATCTAAGCATGGGGTCAAAGGTCAAATATCAACTTGGAAAATTGAATTCTTCAAAATAAAACATTATAGTGAGATGCTATTGATCAGAATCACAATATTAATGGCTTGATCTTTGTTTTCTTTTTTCAGTCTTATTACAGTGCTAAATATTAGAATCACAAAAATGTTGGGGCTGTGGGAACTCAATCGCCTCCACAATTAAGATATATCCAGACCATAAAATAATTCTTACGCCCAGGGTCTAAGGTCTGATCTAGATTAAACAAAAACCTGATCAGAAATTTTGAATCCTGCTTAGGCGTAAGAGTTTAGCATTGTTTATATAACATACAGTGTTATTGGCTTTCCTCTCCCACAAGATATATGTGAATCCTATCCTACTTTTTAAATCTACTTTCAAATGAAATTCCCAGATAGGACGTTGGTTGGAGAGTGCCATCATGAGCAGTATGTTTCCGGATGTATAATTAAGGTACCGAATTGCTACAAATATACATATGCCTAATCTGTGATAATGACAAAATCCATTGGCAATATCCAGAACCCCAAAAAAACAAAGTGTTAATCTTTTTCACTCTTCGGCAGGCCATAATAAATTGTATCACGGGTCGAGGACCACTGGCGCAATGCAAGAAAAGTTACCCAGATTAACAACCATACCACTATCAGTTCCAATATTCAATAACAAAGTTTAGAAATAGAATTTACATCCATAATGCAAATATCTGCAACCAAATTACAGTCTTCATTTTTTAGATAAGTTTAGATAAAAAAATAGAGATAACCTATTTTCAGGAAATTCAGTTCGCCCCCCACCCCCTCTGGAAATATGGCTTTTTGAATAAACTCTCTATTTCTACAGCCCAGCACCATTTCAGCATTTCAAGAGCGTTTCTCATTTCTAGCAACCCATGATCGTGTGATACAATTTATCTATTTGGAATAAAATTGACATTCTGCTACATCCAAGTCCCATATTTTTTACATTTTCTATCAGAACAAGGCTCTATCTGATATACAATGATATCTTTTATCCTACATCCCCCCCTTTATTTTTTGATAATAATCAATTTAATAAATAAATTTAACAGTTACAGCTAAAATTCCTACAATTTCACACAGCGTTTTAGAATTCCATATCTCGATCAAGTTAACACATAAAATACTGTATAAGAACTAACAATACTAAGTTAACTAAAATTGAATCATTTTTCTTATTTTCTCTGATTAGGGGGCCAGTAATGTCCTTGTTGAGGGAGGGGCCTATTTGGGGGGTAAGAATGATGGGGATTCACCCCAAAAAAGGGAGGAGCGCTATGTGAAGCGTTATAGTGCACTTCTCTGCCACCATGTGGTGTGTTTTTCTCATTCGTGTTCACGAACGTCTGACTTGATAGGTGACTTCCGTTGGGGTCATGGGTCATGACTTTTTGACCTTGGTGATTTCCAAATGGGGCGTTAAATCCGTATCCTGGGCTTGGTGGAGAAACCCCATATGCAAAGGGGTTCATATCTCCTGGACTTCGTGAATAGGGTAATTGTAACCCCCCTGGTTGGGGGAGTTCGAGCAAAATTAAAAGGATTCTGGTTGTTGTTTCGTGGGGAAGTAGAAAAAGGGGCGTGGTTATACATACCCCCAAAATTAGGGGCGATAGGGGGGACATTGAAAATGGGGGTACATTAGGAGAAGGAGGGTAGCCGTGCAGAACAGTGGGGCGTTGATGAATTTCTGCAAAAAATAAATTGAAATTAAAGAACTTTATAATATGATTTCAACAAAAGGCGTCTAACGAGAAATGAATAAAATCCTAGATTTGGAATCTTGATTAGAGCAAGCCAGCAGATAAACCATATAGGCTACTTTCAAGTCAGTTGTAAGTTACAAATCTTCCGCAATAATTTTTTAAACTTTCAGTGGAAGATCTTAAATTCAGCAACCTATGACAGATCTTAAAGCAGTTGTTCTCAACCTGTGGTACACACACTACTAGTGGCACGCAGAAACTATACAATTAGTACGCAAGCAGCTCTGAATTATTGCAACAATTAACTTTTGAGTTGGCTAAAGTATGATGTCAACGTTTCTCTTCATCTTCCATACTGTATGAATTCACTGAACGGCGTTTATAGCGCTACCGATCCTTTTTTTACAGATCACCCTCGTTCGTTTTGCGTGTTGCATCACAAAGAATGTCGTACCCATTATAAAACACTCCATAGCACGTTTTTTGTGTTCTTGTTTCCAACTCGAAAAGGGGGCTTTGTCGGTGGTACGCGGCAAGGGTAAAACATAAAGTTGTACGCAGTCAGTAAAAGGTTGAGAACCACTGTCTTAGATAGAGTCTCAGTGGTTAACCCACTTCTAGCGAATATACATAAATATAAAAATGCCGTACCTTCAGCACTGGTACTTTGCCTTGGTATGAGATGATTCAAATTATCCCCGGGTTTTGGTCTGCTATTCTTCTCATGAGCTCTCCTTTCCTCTATCAGCTGGGTCTCGACTTCTTGTAGAGTTTGAATGGATCCTGGTAAGTTTCAAGTGTTACGAATAATTTTAGCAGTCAACACAGTTTTCGGTTGAGCAGCATTTTCTAGTGTTGAATTTTATGATTTTTTTATGCAATATCAATATGAATACCGTATTTTAGCGAGGTATTAATTATTTAGTGATGGGAAACGCGGTTTCTCTAGTGAGTCAGCGCGAAGGAATCAAAACCGCAGATCGATAAGTCGGCAGTCTCGATCGCTATCTAGTTAAACGTATAGAACTAAGCGTTATTTATTCAAGATGGAAAATTACAATAGCACACTTCATGCACTAGCCCAGGCTACTCAACTATTTTTACCGAAGATCCGCACACAGAACTTCAAAATTATTTGGGTCCGGTCTTTCCAGAAATTATATTTCGGCATCCTTAAAAGCACTTCATCAACCGGCTAATGATTATTAGATAATCGAGATTATTTATTATGGTGTTATAGTTCTTTTCATATATATTCAAAACTATAAAAATCATTTATAAAAGGAAACTACAAAAGTGGGGGTTCGATCCAAAATAAATAATTAGGTGCGGTCCGAATCAAATACTCGGAAGGTCCGGATTCGGACACCAGTCCACCAGTTTGTAGCCTGCTATAGTGAGTAGATCTCACATTATAAAAGCATAATTTTTCTTTTCCATCTCTCTCCTAAAATGAAAATACCTGTTGCTGGGGAATCCCCTGACAATTCTTTCTTCAAATTCAAGTTTTTTATTGTTCCGGGGGGTGACTTCGCGATGTCCTTGCGTATCGGGTGTCGCGGTGTTTTGTGTTGTTGCTCTGTTTCCTTCTCTTGAAGATTTGAAGTCTGCAGCGAGATTTCTTGAAAACGAAAAAATAAAATTGTTTAGAAGCGAATAGAGCAGTGGTTCCCAAACTGGGGTAAAGTTTATTGTTAGCCTGGCATCATCAATGATAATATCGTTTAGTTTAAGTTTACAGTATTAATTTATAAAATATTGAGTCATGCGTGTATAAGCCGAATTTTTAGTGTGATCCAAGTTTTGCACATATAATAACATATAAACCAACCAGCGGTTACGTGAACCACCCTACGATGTCGAGGAGCCCAGCAATCCTCTCGCACATAATCATCCCCACAAGATTCAACCTCTTTCTCGTACTCCCGTAGTGTGAGCAACAAGATGTCGGACAACTGAATGTCGTATGTGTACAGGTTATCATAATTTCAGGTACAAATACTACGAGAGTCACTTGGTTAGTCCCTGAAGACGTAGAGAACTAATTGGAATAAAATTATGGCCTAACCTCAGCCCATACCATGTTCAAGTGTCCGCCATCTTATGGCACATACTACAGGAGTGCCCTTTTAATGCGATTAAGGCATTTCACGGCATACATTTACCCTGGAATAAAGATGGAAACCCTACTCCCGGTATGGTTGTTCCTTCATCATCAAGTCCACACGTCTGAAACAAAAACTGGCTGACTATTCCCATGCGCAACCTGGACTGGACGATGATGAAGCCGTCTTATTGACTTTCCTGTCCATGGGCATAAATATTTAAATCAGGGATCAAAATCTCGCGGCCCGGGAGCCAATTGCGGTGCGCAGGACGATATTTTGTGGCCCTCGCCTCAATATGAGAGTTTATTGTTAGTGTGGCCCGTAAGTCACTTAGCTCGGACCGCCTTTACTTCGGAATAGAATTAAACCTTATTCTTAGCTTTAAATAAGAGTGGTCTACTGATGAGCTAGCTTACACCAATTAAAAACACATACAATAAAGTAATATACCTGCTGACTTTTGGAGTATTTCTGCCTTGTTTATTCTGTTGATCCATGCTGCCACTAGATGGATGCGGTGACTTTGAAGATATACTACTTTGGGGAGTGGCTGAATTTTTGTTCTGCTGCCTCTTGTGACCACTTTGTGGCGTTTTGGGTTGGCTTTCGAAATTTTGATCAGAGGTTGAAGAAATTGGTCGTCTTCTATTTTCAGTCTTTTTCAGTGGATTTTCAACCCTATTAAGCGGACTTCCTGCATTCGTTGGGGGTTTTCCCCCTCTTTGATTAGAATTTTGTCGTCCAGACTGATGCGAGATTCGCGAAAATTCATGCTGTTAGGATCATATCTGAATATAAAATTTATATGAAAGAAATGAGTTGGGAATTTATATTTATCCCAGGGGAGAGGAAATGGGTTCAGACGGCACAATCTTAGATTTTCATATTTTTTGGGGGGGGGGGAAAGTGTTAACTCAGCATAAACGTATAATTTGTAAATGCCCATAAACATAACCAAAGTAACTCTCAAGATACACTAACAGAAATAAGCCCTCAAGTACATGGCTACTTCACCTTCACAGCTGGTTGATCATGATCAGTCATCTGTGACTGATGACATCACAGGTCATGCTCAGCCATCTGGTAAAATGCTAGTTGCCGGAAATACAATAAATATACAGTTAACAGAAAGTCGATAAGACGACTTAACCATATGGTGAACCTCCCGTCTTGTTACCAGTCCATGTCGGGTATTCGGTTAGTTAGACAGTTATT